TCTGTCATCGGGCCTGAGGCCTGGGTTGAGCCTGAATCCAGTGAGTGAGGCTGGGTAATGGGTATAGCAGGTCTGGAGCGGGGCAGGTAAGGGATATGGTGGGATGGGGGGGTAGATTCTGCTCCCCGTGGCTGTGCTGAGCCTCCCCCTGTCTGTCCCCACAGTTCCCAGATGGTGGTGTGGCTGCCCAGGTCCGCTCTGCCCCGTGCTGTGATCAGGTATGGCCTGCTGAGTGGCTGCAGGGATAGGAGAACTGAGGTGGGGTGGTAGGTCCTAGGGCCAAAGCAACCTGCTAAGATCCATCTCCTTCCCCTGCATCCCACCAGGCACCCTGACTATGATGAGGAAGGCCTCTATGGGGCCATCCTGCCCCAAGTGGTGACTGCCGGCACCATCACTCGCCGGGCTGTGGAGCCCACGTGGCTCACTGCCAGCAATGCCCGGGTACGTGTCCTTCCTTCCCCAGGTCTGTGGAAACTGGGATCTGAGGGCCTTTCGGTATTTAGCGAGGAGCATGAAAAGGACCCTATGATCTGGGTCAGCCAGAACCCTAGTTCAGATCTGGCGTCATGACTCTTGTCCACTCCTTCGGTAAATGTGTTCTGGGCACCCTTCCTGGCCAGACGATGACAGGCACAATAGCTACAGCGATCTTAGACTTTAGATGGGACCTTGTATGTGAGGGTCCTGGCAGGGCGCTAGGCACAGAGCAGATTGTTTACTTGTCACCCCAGTTGCTGAGGGGCTGTCTGGCATTCTCTAAAGCCATCCATCCCCTCAGGAAGGCTCCAGCTCTGTCTCAGTCAACTCGGGCTCCAGGAATGGGGTAGGAGTCTCACTGGGGTATCTCCCTCTTCCCACAGCCTGACCGAGTAGGCAGTGAGTTGAAAGCCATGGTGCAGGCCCCACCTGGCTACGCCTTTGTGGGTGCCGATGTGGACTCCCAGGAGCTGTGGATTGCAGCTGTGCTTGGAGATGCTCACTTTGCCGGCATGCATGGTGAGCAGGAGCCGGGGTCGGGGCAGCCCAGCCCCTCAGGCAGCGTAACCACAGTTGTGATGGACACTGGGCAGATGTTCCTGAGCTTCCTTTCTTACTCTCGCATGTCTTGCAGGCTGCACAGCCTTTGGGTGGATGACACTGCAGGGCAGGAAGAGCAGGGGCACGGATCTGCACAGCAAGACGGCTACCACCGTGGGCATCAGCCGAGAGCACGCCAAAGTCTTCAACTATGGCCGCATCTATGGTGCCGGGCAGCCCTTTGCTGAGCGCTTACTAATGCAGTTCAACCACCGGCTCACACGGCAGGAGGCAGCTGAGAAGGCCCAGCAGATGTATGCTGTCACCAAGGGCCTCCGCCGGTGAGGGTCCCTCTCCTGTCCACTTTAACACTCAGAACCCAAGGCCTGCTTTACTGCTTTTTAGTACTCCATCTGATCTGTGTCCTGCCCATTGCTTCAACCCCCACCTAGCCCCTCTCCTTCCACACCTGTGTGACCTAGCCGCAGGATGATTTGTCCTGTTGTGATATGTGCTTGCTTTTTAGTCAGCCTTAAACAGATTTTCCTCATGGAGTAAAGCCATACTTTTGGTATACTGTCACCAGGTGGTAGCATTTTGACAATTCTGATAGTTCTGCATAAATAATAATGTAGGGGTTGCAAACTCAGATGCCTCCAGGGAACGAAAGCAAATGGAGTAGGCAGAAGACAGGAGTTGACAGGAGGGTGCTGTGGCAAATGAGCATGTAGGCTGCTGTTGATACAGGAGAAAGCATTACCAGGCCTCCAGGTTGCTCAGACTAGTTGGCAAATTGTTTCCTCTGATGGTACTGCATACTGTGTACTCAGGGCCTTAGCAGGCTTTCTGGTGGGTTCCAAAAGCATGAGGGAGGAGAGATGCAACTTCCTTACATATAATAAGTGTCCACATTGAATTAGCTGGCTAATTGTGGAAACTCACTTTCTTGTGAACAACTCAAGTTAAGTATGTGATAAATGATGTAGCGGTTGGTGACTGTAAATGCAGAAAAGGGCAGCTGAGCGTCCTCCAGAGTTGATGGTGCGATGCTGGGTAAGGCTTGTACCGTGAGCATGACTGTAAATGCAGGAAAGGGAACCGAGTATCATCCAGAGTGGATGAAGTGAGGTTGGGTAGGGCTCGTACTGTTGGCAGCCTGTGCTGGTGGAGGCGAGCAAGGTGGTGGGGCTTTAGTTGTGGACACCTTTGAAAGTGTCACAGGAGTTTGACTGTGGGTGCAGGTGGTAGAAGCCCTGGAACTCCTTTGTGCAAGTGATTGACGTGTCTCTGGAGCCTTGAAGAAGCAGCCTTGTGATGTCTGCAGGTTAGATGGAAGCTGGGAGTCTAGGGTCATGGCAGTTGAGAAGGGTAAGTTGGGCCTGGCTACTGTGTTTTCTGCTTCTGCGAATGCCCCCTTCCCTTCAGGGAGTAGCCTGTTCTTGCCCCGTCTCCCCAAATCTGGAGTGACGGCCCTTGCTGCCTTCTGAATAAAAGGCTGGTGTTGGGCATTGGGCAATGCAGTGTCGGGAAACAGGACCATAGGAATGGTGGCCTCGTGTGCTGGAAACTTTGTCCTTTATTGGGCTCCTGTCTGGGTTGTATCTCCTCCTAGCGGACCCTAGGCAAGACACTTAGCCTCTCTGAGCCTGTTTCTTGCTCTGAAGACAAGCCTTAAGGGGACTGGCTTGATGCCAGTGTTTTTGAAAACTGAGTGATAGGTGAACACTCCTCATCAAGGCAGTAGTGTGGCACAGGAAACACTCCCGTGGGAATGACAGTGTTAACACTTCCCCCAGGTATCGGCTGTCAGAGGAGGGTGAGTGGCTGGTGAGGGAGCTACACCTCCCAGTGGACAGGACTGAGGGTGGCTGGATTTCGCTGCAGGATCTGCGCAAGGTCCAGAGAGAAACTTCAAGGAAGTAAGAACCTTCGTGTTAAGGATGGAGGGAGGGGAGGGGTCTGGGCTTGCCCCAGAATAGCTTAGATGCTTTTTTAGCACTGAGATGCTAAAAGACAAACTCTCCCCTCTCTGTTTCTGGTCCCTTAGGTCACATTGGAAGAAGTGGGAGTTGGTTGCTGAACGGGCTTGGATGGGGGGCACAGAGTCAGAGATGTTCAATAAGCTTGAGAGCATCGCTACATCTGACATACCACGCACCCCGGTTCTGGGCTGCCGCATCAGCCGAGCCCTGGAGCCCTCGGCTGTCCAGGGAGAGGTATCTTGCTACCTTTGGAGCATGGGTGGGTGGGTGGACCAGGGAGAGGAGGGGAGAGCTCCCTGTGGACCTTACCAGGGTTTGTCAGTAGGGCCGGAGTGAAGCTTCTCTTGGGGCTTCTACCCTAGAATTAGGTTAGGTATGAGCCTTACCCAACCTTCTAACTCTAGGGTAGCTGGTATGTAGCAGAGTCCCTCTCACCTCTGCTCCCCTTCTCTCTGCAGTTTATGACCAGCCGTGTGAATTGGGTGGTGCAGAGCTCTGCTGTTGACTACTTACACCTCATGCTTGTGGCCATGAAGTGGCTGTTTGAGGAGTTTGCCATAGACGGGCGCTTCTGCATCAGCATCCATGACGAGGTTCGCTACCTGGTGCGGGAGGAGGACCGCTACCGTGCTGCCTTGGCCCTGCAGATCACCAACCTCTTGACCAGGTAAGCGGGGCCTGTGGCCTCTCTGGCCTGGCCATGTGCTCCGGGTGAGAGCTCCTTGGGCCAGACTGGGTAGTTTTGAGTTTTCATCCCCCTTTTAAAAGCTTAGAGAAGTCCTAAAAAAAAGAGTTGTCTCAATTTTTAAAAAAAGATTTATTGGGTTTGAAAATGTCAAATACCAAGACTGATCACTGAGGAAGAGTGAGGTTAGGGAAATTGTTCCAGTGGGTGGTATTCACACTTTTCTGTTTTGAAAATCAAATGACAGAAGAAGCCTTTTCTTGTTTCACAGGGAATTGAGATGTTTTTCTCTCGCCCATAAATGTTTTAAGTGCCAAAAGTTTATTATTTGACTGCTAACAGAAAACATTATTCACGGAGACACTCGAATGTGATTTTTAAAGTATCTTTTATATATTGAGTTGTATTTTCTTATAGTAAAATTCCTAGTTCATATGGATGAATTAAATGCTATTACCGTTCCATGTTGATCTACCACTCAGAACCAGTTTGGGAACCATGATCTATCCTGATTAATGGGTAAATAACAGATGTTTATGATACTCAACATTGTTCCCATTGTCCTCTTCATCATCTCTGGGGGGATTATGCTTAACAAATCTAAAAGTGCTCATTTATGCTTTAAACTCTGGCCCAATAATTGGAAGTGATTTCTTAGGTCAAAATGGGGGAAAAAGTGTGTGTGGTGGAGTTCATAATTGCATTTTAGTATCTCAGTGGGGGGTTAGGCTGCTGGATGGAAGACAGTGCTGGCCCTTCACTTTCTCGACTTAGCTAAGTGAACAGATGGGGTATGGGGTCGGTGCTCCAGGAGGAGGGGCATGACTGTGAGAGGAGATTGGGTCTCTTTCAGGTGCATGTTTGCCTACAAGCTGGGTCTGAATGACTTGCCCCAGTCAGTCGCCTTTTTCAGTGCAGTCGATATTGACCGGTGCCTCAGGAAGGAAGTGACCATGGATTGTAAAACCCCTTCCAACCCAACTGGGATGGAAAGGAGATACGGGATTCCCCAGGGTGAGCACAACATACTTGTTCCTCATTACACATAGTATCTGAGGTGGACTAGAAAGTGGGTCTTGGAGGACAGGACTCTTGGGGGCCCCAGGGAATCACTCTTGACTCATGCTATATTCTAGGCTAATTGCAGTTTCTAAGGTGCCCTGTATCCAGAGTGAGTGTGACATGTTTCAAAAATGCAGACAGCAGGGCTTCAAATACTCCACCTGTACCTGTCCCCCACTTCAGCCACACCAGAAATATAGAGTGCATTCTTAGGTGACAGAAAACAAACTCTCCTTTAACTACCAAACAAGTAAATCAGAAAGTTTTTTTTATATTTAAAATGTATCTCAGACAGACTTACTTTATATACAAGGAAAACAGACCGTCTTAACATGTAACATTACCATTTGTTGCACTGCTCTCAACCTTTCTCTCCTTTCTGACCTTAACATTAAACTCCGCTGCTCACTTCTGATCTCTGTTACAGTTCTAGAGGTGGCATCCTAACCAATTTGCACTATCTTTCAGGTGAAGCGCTGGATATTTACCAGATAATTGAACTCACCAAAGGCTCCTTGGAGAAACGAAGCCAGCCTGGACCATAGCTCTGCCTGAAGGCTGTATTTGCTCCCATGGAGCTTCATCAGGCAGCTCAGGCTAGCAAACTCAGGCTTTCAGCTGTGCTTTTCGCAGAAGGGCTTGCCTAAGGCCAGCCATTTTTCAGTAGCAGGACCTGCCAAGAAGATTCCTTCTAATGGAAGGTGCAGTTGAATTCAGTGGGTTCAGAACCAAGATGCCAACATCGGTATGGGCTATAGGACGAGGGGCATTGTTGCTTGTTGGGGAAGAATGAAGCAAAAGCCCCAAAGTTCACATTAACTCAGGCATTTCAATTATTTTTTCCTTCTCTTCTTGGCTGGTTCTTTGTTCTGTTCCCTATGCTCTGATGCAGCGCCCTAGAAGGGGAAAGAAGTAATGCTCTCATGTGATCAACCTGCTCCAAGGCAGTAGAAATAAAAAGAAAAAACAAACACCTCTTTATCTTCTCATCAAAGCCTGTGTTAGTCATGCTTTCCCCTCTTTCCCACTCACAGGAGGTAATTTTATGTTGAAGAGGAGGGAGTCCTCCAAAGTGTAGAGTAAGGCAGTGCCAACTCCCCCTGTTAGGACTTTTGTTATACTGAGGAGAGTCATGGGACGGAATGACAAAGCCATTGGCATCAAAATGGCCACTTGACTCTCCTGAGTGCTGCTGCCAAGTGGGTAAAGGAGTGGATGGGAGCCTGGAGTGTGATCATCTGAAGAAGGCATGTTCCAAATCCTTGAGAAGCCAGAAATCCAAGGCACTTGTACGTAAACTTCCAATTCAGAAATGGGAGTGGGTCACTGATTTGCTATTTATTAGACAAACCTCAGATGAAAACTGTAGGTGCTAGAAATAGGGAAACCTTGGGCTTTGTTTTGAAGATGTTGCATGGATGAGGGTGTGGTACTGCAGGAGTAAAGGGAGAGGAACAAACTGCAGGGGAAAAGGATAAGCAACTGGCATGAATTGAAGGAGCCTTAACCCGGACTAATGAGTGGCCGGCCTTTGAATGAGAGCATGACATGAGAAGTAAACTAGTTTCTCGGTCAGGGTGCTACAGCTGCTCATCATCCAGTAGTTGAAAACAGGTGTCCCCAAACTACGGCCCTCGGGCCCCATACAGCCCCCGGAGGCCATTTATCCGGCCCCCCTCTGCACTTCAGGAAGGGGCACCTCTTTCGTTGGTGGTCAGTGAGAGGAGCACAGTATGTGGCGGCCCTCCAACAGTCTGAGGGACAGTGAACTGGCCCCCTGTGTAAAAAGTTTGGGGATGCCTGGTTTAAAAGAACTGAAGAGGACCCACAGCAGGACACTGTTTTTTTACCACCCACTTCCAGAAGTGTTGACCAAAAATGAATCAGGGCAACTTCATAGGATTTGGTGTGGTCCAAAGTTTACAACCCTCTGAGAGTCCTTGGCTCTCATCTTTGCCTGATCACCCTTTAGCCCGTTTCCAGTCTGTTGCCCTTCCACTAATCTGTGACTGCTTCAAGATAGGCTGCTAACCAGCTAGCAGAGTGGCTGGGATTTGCTGGGCTCCAGACAGAAACCAGCACTGACCTCTTCGTTTTCGTCTTCACCTTCCTCTCGAAGAACCATGTCTAGGATGTTTCCTTTGATCTTGAAGTCTCGTGAGGTGCTGAGCTTCATGTGCTGCATCAGGTTCACCTGTGACGGGATTGTGAACATGGGAGCATCTCCCTACTCATAGGTCCTGCCAGGACAGCTGAAGCCATTTTCAGTGCACCTGACCAGCCTTTCAGTTTCTACCTAAAGCAAGCACACACGCACTTCCTTCTGTATGCTGGGTTTCAGGCCATCAGATCCGCAATAGCAAAGAGGCTGAGTGTGGTGGTTCATGCCTATAATCCCAGCACTTTGGAAGGCAGAGGCAGAAGGATCACTTGAGGCAGCCTGCCAACATAGTGAGACCTTGTCTCTACAAAAAAAAAAAATATATATATATATATATATAATTAGTGGGGTGTGGTGACATATGACTGTAGTACCAACTATTACGGAGGCTGAGGCAGGAGGCTTGAACCTGCACTCCAGCCTGGGAGACAGAATTAGACACTGTCTCCAAAAAACGGGGGGACGGGGGGGGGGGTGGATGGCAAATGGACCAGTCTTTTTTCCTCCACTGCAGTTGTGCTCCTTTAGTTTGCCAGATCCCCTGTCAAGGTAAATGGAAATGGTGGCACATAATAGAGAATGTTTACCTTGGACTTCTTAGAAAGGTGGATGAGAAATTTTTCATACTGTTCAATGGCGAAGATGAGATTAGGGATTGGCTTGGTTTCCCGAAGAACTCTGGCCTAAGGGCAAAGAATGTGAAGAAGACTTGTATTTCAGGTTGAAACCGATTTTTGAAGTTTTCCTCTTAAGCTGTCACTTCCAAAACTGGTATGGCTTTGGGGGAAACTAGTGTGTCTCCCAATCATATGCAGTTTTACTTATATACTAGTAATTAAAAATTTTTGGCAGTTCAATCTCAAAGGACCCAAATGCCAGTAGAGACAATTGCAGTGATCCTTTCCATTTATAATCCCATTGTTTGTTACCTAGAGACTGGCTGAGGAGGGCAGGATCATTTGCAGAAATTTAGTTGCTTTTCTGACCTGATTATTCTTATGCCTATTCTCACCCTAGTTGTATTTCCTTGTTCTGGTCTGCATATGAATGTTCACTGCTGGGATTATATATCTTTCCCCTAATTTGAGTTATAATTTGTAGATCCTTCTACATTTATTTGTATTTTTTTTTAATCCATGAGGACACTACATATTTTTTAACATTATCTTGGAGATAATTCCAGATAGCTGAACATTTAGATGTTTATTTTTTGCGTGTCTGTATAACTCTCTCCAGTATAGACTATAACCTATTTATCCAGTCCTCTATTAATGGGTATCTTTGTTTGTAATATTTCACTTTTATAAGCAATGTTGTGAGGACCATCCTGTACACAGGCCCGTACATCCTAAAAGTGAAATTGTTACATCAGAATGTGTTAATCTCCTGGGATTCATTAGTTGTTGCTAAGCCCCCAGAGAGGCTGTGCTCATTTTCAACTTGGCCAGCAATGTGCTAAGTGCCTACTTTCCTGGACCCTGGCTGACTCTCAGAGATCTCTGAGAGAGCACATTATGCATTCACCAACTTTACCTAAAAATATTTTCCCCCAATAGTATCGTAAGTTATTTTACTTTAACCTAAAAATAATTTCTCCCAATGGAGTATCTTGTTATTGTACTATTTTTATTTCAACCCCAGATTTTCTGATGCTTCCTGAATAAAACATCTTTTTGGTTCAGAGGAAAAATAAGATGTTCCATCTGATCATAAAATCCCTGAGTTGAGGAGCCATGTATATCATACACACACACCATGTAACACACACAACACATACTTTGGTAACAGCTCTATAGAGCTATAACTCATAGGCCACACAATTCACACACAATGTACATTTTTTTTCAGTATTTTCAGAGTTGTGCAACCGTCACCACAATCATTTTCATCACCCGCAAAAGAAATTCCATACCCTTTTTAGCTGTCACTCCCATCTCCCAACCCACCTAGCTCTATGCTACCACTAATCTAGTTGGCCTTAGATTGACTTAATCTGGACACTTCATGAAAACAGAATCACACAATGTGGTCTTTTTGTCACTGGCTTCTTAATGTTTTCAAGGTTCACCAATAAGCATGTTTTAATGGTCCACGTCGGCAGCTTACCATGGCTGTGGCTACGGCAGCAGTTTTCTCCTTTTTCTCTCCCGTATAGTTCAGGTTTTTACTCTTCTTGTTCTAAAGAAACAAACACATTGTCTTGATTTTTCTGTAGAGCTAGCATGCTTGTGGTAATTTTTTTTTTTTTTTTGAGACCATCTTGCTCGGTCATCCAGGCTGGAGTACCGTGGTGCAATGTCGGCTCACTGCAACCCCCACCTCGAGTTAAGCGATTCTTGTGCTTCAGCCTCCCAAGTAGCTGGGACTACAGGCACGTACCACCACACCCAGTTAATTTTTGTATTTTTATTAGAGATGGGTTTTGCCATGTTGGCTGGGCTGGTCTCAAACTCCTGACCTTAGGTGATCTGCCCGCCTCAGCCTCCCAAAGTACTGGGATTGCAGGCATGAGCCACCGTGCCCGGCTGTTAGTGGCATTTTCTAGGAAGGTAATTACACAGGGCTTGAGGACCAAGTCTGGGGTAAACAGGATTATCTGTGCAACAGGTGTTAGAAGATGCGGAAAAAATGTGATGCTCTGTAATCCTCAGTTTTCAATTGCTGGGAGGTTTATAATCTGTTCTTAGAGCTGGCACATGGAAGTTGAAGGCAGGACAGTTACTGCACTGGGTCAGCCAAGGGGCTGGTGAGGTACTGAAGAATGGTTAACATGGCGACTAAAGGTGGTAGCAGGAATAGGCATATCTATTTCTATTTTAGCCAGTAGGCTAAATGGATTCCATAAAGGAGAGGAAGTTGAGGAGGCTGCTGCAGGGCCCTGCAGTCTTCCCACATACAGGCAATCACCAGATAGATTCTATTTTCCTTAGTCAGCAAAGCCAAAACCAGATACATTTGATGTGCTATGGGTTATCATGCTCAAGAAAGGTTTAAAGGGTCACAGGCACACTTTCCCATGTTGTAAATTACTGGGTAATATAAAGAAAGGAACCAAGAGGCATAGGATTCTGATAAGGCAAAAGAAGCTCGAGATCTGAGTCAAGATTGAGACGGGAGAGAAAAACCACCCAAATGTAAGGTACAGAAATGTAGGAAGCTTTTACCGCAAAGGGAGTGCTAAACCTCAGGGAAGGAACATACCTTATTCCACGAGGACAAGAGAATAAAGAAACAGACCCGAAAATACAGAGAAGCTCTGCCAGTGGAGCCATGAGAGAAACAGGAGGCTGTTCCACATGCCACGTTCTGGACAATAAGGAACTGGAGACATTCCAGAGGGGCTGGAAGGCAGGGCAGAGGATGGTAGAGGGTGAAGCCCCATTAAGTGGGAGGCAAGGAGGCAGTCAGGTCGACCTCACTGACCAAGCGGGAAGTGAACCATCTTCCTGGAGGTTGTAGCAAAGATGGGATCCTGTTGAACAGCTTAGATCAACCCTGTTCCCCGCCCATTCCAATGGATCCAGGCAGGACAAAATGAGAGCTGGAAGAGAAGCATCTTTTAAAGGTACACAGTTCTGGGCAGGATGCTAAGAGCTGGAGCAATGGTTTTCATTGCCTTCTTCCCACTGAGATCTAAGGAGGTGAGGAAATGAAGAGGCGGCTACAAGAGAGGAAAAGCTCAAGGAGAGATGTGGAAAATGCAATCCCCATTTCTAGATAAGAGCTGAAATTAAAGGAACCATGCATGGGCTCTTGCCTAGAGGCACTCATTAAGTATATTTCACAAAAACAGAAAAGTGTAAAATGTTTGCCTGCAGATCAGCTGACTTGTCAGTAAGGCTTTACATGGAATATGGATGGAGGAGGAGGAAAATGCCCAGGGAAGAAATGAAACTGATTACTGTGTAATGGGGGAAAAAGAATAGCGGTCCAGGAGGTAGCAGTGATTCCCAGGAGAAAATGCTTGAGAATGGGGTCAGAAACACGAAAACCCCCAACCCTCCAACATTTTACATGTCAACAGGTATCAGGTCCGACTCTAGAGCAATGGTTGGCTGACTACAGCCCATGGTATAAAAAGCCACCGCCTGTTTTTGACAATAAAATTTCATTGGAAAATAGCCATGCTCACTTATTTGTATATTGTCTGTGGCTGGTTTTATATTGTGATAGTAGAGCTGAGTAGGTGTGACAGAGACTTTATGATCCATATTTACTATTTGGCCCTTTACAGAAAGTGTCAATTCCTGTGATCGAGTCAAACTAGCTGGGTTCAACTCTCAGATCTGCCTCTTCCTCACGGTGAGTTCTTGGGCATTCTGATTACCCTTTCTCATCGTGCTTATAGGAGTAACTACTAATCACAACCTCTAGCCGGGGTGAATGAGATGATGTATGACAAGAGCTTAGCACACCAGGTAGAGGTTCTCTAAGCATTACCTGTTTAATAAAATGATTAGATAATGTGACTCTTGAATCATAACAAGGGTAGTAAATAGGATCTAACAGCAGTATTTCCCAAACTCTACTCTATGGAACATTATTCTGCCAAATAGAAACATTGGTTATTTTTTTAAAATGTTCTTGAATAGGTCTGAAAACTACTAATGAACATACTGTTGGAACTCTCAGCACTGCTTTTATTTTTCTTGAGACAGGATCTCACTCTGTTACGCTGGAGTATAGTGGCATGATCATGGCTCACCGCAGCCTCCAAGTACTGGGCTCAAGTGATCTTCCTGCCTCAGCCCCCCAAGAAGCTGGGACTATAGGCACATGCCTGGCTAAATTTTAAAGGCTTTGTGGAGATTCGGGGGCGGGGGGTCTATGTTGCTCAGTCTGGTCTTGAACTCCTGGCCTCAAGTGATCTTCTTACCTCAGCCACCATGGCTGGTCTCAGCACCTTTAATATGCAAATGGACGCCATGAATCTCTAAGATGAGAAACACAGTATGAGCATTTCTCACTGAATTCCTTTTTCTGAGGACTGTCTCAGTCTACACAGGATACTCTGTGGAATGTGGCTTTATAGGTATCATTAAGACTTGGAGATGAGGAAACTCAAAGCCCCAATACGGGAGTGGAGAGGTATATCTCCTATTACAGACAACAGATTTGTTGGATGAATGGCACCTACATGAAAATTTACAAGCACGAGGTTTGAGAAAGCATTCCTGCAAGCATCTGGGTGAGATGAGAGGAGAGGACCAGAAGTAAAAGCTTTATGACAGCTGGCTACTGGCTGGATACAGAAAATGGATGATGTATTCCTGGCACAGATCACAAAACTGATACAAAGGCAAGGTGACAGACAGCCTCAACTATCAGCCCATTATTAAGAACTCCTTCAGCTAAATCCAGATGACAGCCTACTTGATTGCAGATTCTTTTTTTTTTTTTGAGATTGAGTTTCACTCTTGTTGCCCAGGCTGGAGTGCAATGGTGAGATCTTGCCTCAGTGCAACCTCCACCCTCTGGGTTCAAGAGATTCTCCTGCCTCGGCCTCCTGAGTAGCTGAGATTACAGGCATGTGCCACCATGCCCTGCTAATTTTTTGTATTTTTAGTAGAGATGGAGTTTCACCATGTTGGCCAGGCTGGTCTTGAACTCCAGACCTCAGATGATCCACCCGCCTGGGCCTCCCAAAATGCTGAGATTACAGGCATGAGCCACTGTGTCCAGCGGATCACCGATTCTTAAAGGGAGGGGAAGAGGCACCCTGAATACACACAATGAGGCAAGTTACCAGTTGAATGACATTGTGCCTGTAGGTGATGCAGAGGCAGAAAACAAGTGAGGCGTCACTGTCAAAGTGACCACAATCAGTGACTTTAATAATTGGTTCTAGAATCTTGGCTGAGATTGACACTTCAAGGACCCATTCTCTTTGATTCTTCAAAGATCAGTCACGGCCCTGTGATACATTTACTGCATGACTAAGTGGCCTGACGCGAAAGCACATCTCTCGATTCTTCCTCTTTCCGACGAGGGGTGATTTTGTCCCTTAAGGACAAGTGGAAGTTTCTGGAGACATTCTTTGGCTGTTACAACTAGGGCGCTGCTATTGGCATCTGGTAGGTGGAGGCCAGAGATGCTGCTCCACATCCCCAAATGCACAGAACAGGCTCCACAACATAGAATTATCCAGCCCAACATGCCAATAGTGGGGAGGTTAAAAAACTCTGTTTTAAGCAAACAATAAAGGAGACTCCAGTACCGCAGGAATCTGATGGTATTCGGGGCCAGATGACACTTAGAAAGCCCCGGAGGCGCCCTCACACTGACTGCTGTCTCGTTACAGCCCTCTCCATGAGCTTGCTGCTGCTCTGCTCATACTCCCAGAGGACATCTCATGGCATGGACTTTCACTTACCCAGAAATAACCATGGTGAAACCCCTTGAGCCCCAGCATGCCTGTTCCTTCCTTGCTCTGAATGCAAACACATATGCTTCCTTTCTCCAAATTAAATGAAACTGGTTTCTTTACATGAATAAAGATCTCCTTGATGCAAAGCCCTCAAGCCTTGGCTTAGTCTCTGATGGGTGCCTCTGGCTTGTGGCAAGCAAAAACGAAAGTTTATATACACTCAGTTCAGGTGATCAATAGTCCCTTGGGCATGTAAGAAATCCTTTCTTGAAGATCTGTTGGGTACTGCCTCTCAATCACTTACCTGTACATAAGAAATGAAAGAATAACACAGGGGGGTCAGATGAGAGCCAGACAGCTTCACCTGCAGCAAGGGAGAAGGAAACCAATGTAACCAACAATCAAAGTGCTTCCCCCATTCCTAGGAAAGGCATTCTCAACTCACCAGCTTTTCCATATTTTTTGGAATTCCTCCAGAGCTCCGACACACCTGGAGATACTAATAAAAAAAGATTCCTGGATTTAGCAGACTACCCTATGAAACTACAAGTCCTACTGCAGTGAGCTGATGGGAGTGTGACTCATCGTTCTGACAGGAGAGGGAAAAGAAAAATTCAGAGAGAAGCCGAGACACAAGGCTTCCTTCTTCCTCTCCTCCAAAGCTCCTCAGCTTCCCAGACAAGGGTAATGAAGGGTTTGTTTCTAACTTTCTCATTTCTTTAAAATCTCCTCAGGCTGGTAAGTCCCTGCATGTCAAAAACCAACAACTTGGCTGTTTTTCTTTTTAAAGATGCCAATAAAGAGAAGAGGCTCTCAGTATTTCCACTACAGCAGGTGAGCCACATGCAGCTAGAGCTGCACATTCTGAGCCACAGTGCAGTGAGAAGGGATGGTTCACATCTTTCTTGGGTTATCTGTGCCTTTCTAAGTATTTAATATAATCACTGCTAGAAACATAAACAGTAAGAGCAGTTTATGCTTTATCTTTTTATAAAAAATTATTTTCTTCTTAGTATTTGATCTATAAGATATTTAACCCCTAAATGCTTAAGGAATGAAAAAAGGGAATAAACATCTCTTTAGTGTCCAGAATGGTTAGAAATGGTATAATTTCTATGCAATATGGGCTCAGATTTAATTCTAGATAGTTATAGTTTAGATTAAACCTTAGAAGGCATTTGAAAGAGGCATTCATTCTCAATGAGGTGCCACATACATGCCAAGGAATTAAGGGCCTCCAAAAGCAGATTTATTTTTTGTGAGACAGAGTCTTTCTCTGTTGCCCAGGCGGCACCCGCAGTGGCACGATCTCAGCTTACTTCACCTCTGCCTCCTGGGTTCAAGCAATTCTCCTGCCTCAGCCTCCTGAGCTAACTGGGATTACAGGCACCTGCTACCACACCCAGCTAATTTTTTAGTAGAGATGGGGTTTCGCCATGTTGGCCAGGCTGGTTTGAACTCCTGACCTCAAGTGATCTGCCCATCTCCGCCTCCCAAAGTGCTGGGATTACAGGTGTAAGCCACTGCGCCTGGCCCAAAAGCAGGTTTAGAATTTTAAACTGTTTTTCCCTGGCCTGTGGAGACGCCTGCCACCTTCTGACCGAAATAAAAATGAAACCATGACCTGCTGCCCCAGCCTGACCTGGCTCCCTGTGGTAGAATGGTGGAGGCGAATCTGCTTCTCAAATACTCACATATCTGACAAGTGCAGTAAGTGTGGTGTACATTTTGCACAAGTCCTTTAACAAGGTGTCCACACAGCTGCCTGATGGCAGAGCTGTCTGCACCAGCTCATGGAAAAATGTAAGCAGAGTTCCCAGCTGCATGATGATGGCCTTCTCCACAGGATGATTTGATAGGACTGCCTGAGAAGAGGCCTCTTCTGAAGGGAAATAAAATTGGCACATTCAAACCCAACTTCATTTCCAGTTAAGAGTAAAGGAGATTTAGAAATTGATTACCACTAGAACATCTTTAGGGAAAAATGAACATTCAATATGCAGAGTGAATCAACAATCGTGATTGTTGATAAGCCATAAGATCTTCTGCCTCTTTCATCACATACGAACAAGTCTAGCTCAAAGGCAAGTAAGAAACAGCCCAGGGGCTCCACGTTTATGCACCAGCCCCGTTTGATTTTTGGTAGACCTGGCTCATGTCAATTCCTGGAATCCCAGTTGAACTTATCTTACCTGATAAGGTTTCTTGGCTCACTTGTCCCTTAAGCTTGGTGATTAGCCAGTCCACTTCTTCTAGGACCTTCTCTGCCTGACTCAGAACGAGTAACTGAAAGACAAGAGTGTCTGCTGTGATCACACACAGCAGTGGGGTATTAGAATAACCGTGGCCACTTGGCCACCTACAGGTGGGTAACAGGCCTCAGGACACAAGCCACTTCACATGGAGCAGAACGGAAGGAATGACAGAGCTGCTCCCCGTGGCTCAGCTGCAGCACTTACACAGACGGTGGGGGCAGCCATTCTCAAATTCACTATGGCAAAGTGGTTTGTTTTCTCCACCTCTATGTCCTAGGGAAGAAAAGAGAGGTAAGACGTAATGACAGTAAGGTTGTTCCCTTGACCTCCATCCCCACACAGGGTATTGTACTGAAGGCTCACTCAAGTACCTCGTCTATATCTCCCAGGTGCCCATGGATATCCTGGGACAAGTCACGCAGCAGAGTGACAGGGCTTTTATACAAAACATGCAGGCTGAAAAGCAAGTTCATCAAGCTCTTGCAAAACAAGGCGTCCTCTAGGAATAGGAAGAAAAGCAAATGAAAAGGTAAGTTATAACCCAGGCAGGTCCCTCAGGCACGTGTACGGGGGTAGGGGTGGGGTGCCTAACCAAAACAGGTAGCTGGTCACATCCCAGGCACAACATCCTAGTGTTACACACACTACAGCCAAGCAGCTAGTCTGCAATGATGCCTCTTCATCCGTGTGCCCAAAGAGGCAGACATCTACTGTCGTCAGTCACGATCGCCGTGCAACTAGCATCAAGTACATTATGAGTATTCTAGGGACTCCCTCCTAACTTGCCCCACCAAGGAAACTATCCTGACTTCTGTCCAATTCTGAACCTCACCTAATGGAATTCTATAGTAAGTACCCCTTCTTGCGCCTGGCTTCTTTTGTTTTACAGTATGTTTGTGAGATCCTCTCCGAGTTGTGTGCCTGTGTAGTTTGCCCCTGCTCATTTGCTGTATAGGATTCCACTGCGTGAATATATCATAAGTCTTTTATCCTTTCTAATGCTGATGAACACTTGGGTTTGTTTTTAACCTATTAAAATAGTGCTGCTGGCAGGGCACGGTGGCTCACGTCTGTAATCCCAGCACTTTGGGAGGCCGAGGCGGGCAGATCATGAGGTCAAGAGATCAAGACCATCCTGGCCAACATGGTGAAACCCCATCTCTACTAAAAATACAAAAACTAGCCAGGCGTGGTGGCACGCGCCTGTGGTCCCAGCTAATCAGGAGGCTGAGGTGGAAGAATCGCTTGAACCCAGGAGGCGGAGGTTGCAGTGAGCCGAGATTGCGCCACTGCACTCCAGCCTAGCGAAAGACCAAGACTCCATCTCAAAAAAATTATAAAACAGCGCTGCTAAGATAATTCTTTCATGTTTTTCTGTTGTGACTGGATTGCTCGGTCATAGGCATATGTTTAATTTTAGTAGTTAGATATTGCTTAACAGTTTTCCAGAGTGCTTATACCAATTTCTGCCTCCACCCACCGTGAATGACAGAGCCAACTACTCTACATTCTTGCCAACGCTTACAACTGGTATTAGGTGTCTGTTTCATTTTGGCCACTCTGATGAATGTGTAGTGAATGGGGAATAGCTTTTCTTTCCTAAATGCCATTGGAGGATTGTGATTTTATATGAAGGCTTTGGGAAAACATGGCAGGAAACTCACCCCGGCTGTTTTCCTTGCAAATCTTCGACGTCCAGGATAACATCTGCAAAAACTAAATTAGAGATTATTCGGATGTTAAAGAACCAAGCCAGAGATAGGCCTAGGCGTTATCAGAAGAGTTTTAGACCTTTCCATGTCTAAGCCAATCAGTTGCCAAAACATGTTCTTGGATCTCAAGGGGTAATATATGATGAAGGGCATAAAAATAAGTCAAAAATTCCAAGAATTATGAGAATAACATACAATTTAATTCTCAATGTCTTCGTCCTTACTGAGGGCCAAAAGTTTTGGGGTCCTCATACCTGAACTTCCTTCACTTCTACCACGGTGGTCTAGGGTGAAAGCTCGCTCTTTCCTTCCCATGTCCCCACACACTCCAGTTGAGGATATCAGGTTATCAGAAAGTGTGGGAAAGAATCCTGGCTCTAACAACAGTAGAGTTACCATTTAGAGGCCAAAAGAACAAAGGTGGTTAGAACAGAGAAGGGGCAAAAAAGAGAGAAATAAAAGAGGCAAGAAACCAGACTGAATATTCTTAGCTAAGTGCAGAAGACTTAAGGTCTTCAGATAGCAGGGGTCTGCATCAACACAGCCAACTTTCTGTTTCCGCAGTTTTCTGGAATAGGTTTTCAGCTATAAAACCACTGAAATGCAGTTATACTTAAGTGCAAATCACTACCAGGAATGAAGTTTTGAAGTGTTGAGGAAAAAGGTAAGTTAAGAGGCTAACTGAAAGCGCTCTACAAACTGATATTAATATATCTTCAGAATATCATGTTCAATGAAATAAGCAGGATGCAGAACAAGTTTTTGTGTGAAGAGGGGTAGGATTGGGAATAAAAATCTGTATTTACTTGGGGAGGAATAAAGAAACTTGAAGGATACAACAAACTAAAGGTATTTACTTATTTGGGGAGAGAAGGAACTCAACAGATGGAGGACATGGATAGGGGAGACCATTCAACATAAATCTCTTGATAATCTGTGGTTTTCAAATCAGAGAACTTTATTACCCATTCAAAATTAAATTTAAATTTTTGACTTATTTTTTCTTTGTTGTTATTTTTAATTTTTAATTTTTTTTTGAGACAGAGTCTTGCTCTGTAACCAGGCTGGAGTGCAGTGGTGCAACCTGGGCTCACTTCAACCTCCACCTCCCAGGTTCAAGCAATTCTCCAGCCTCAGCCTTCCAAGTAGCTGGGATTACAGGCATCCGCCACCACACCCAGCTAATTTTTGTATTTTTATTAGAGGACGGGTTTCACCATGTTGGCCAGGATGGTCTTGATCTCCTGACCTCGTGATCCACCTGCCTCAGCCTCCCAAAGTGCTGGGGATTACAGGCATGAGCCACCGCGCCCGACCTAAATTTAAAAATTTTTAAAGAGACTACCTGAAGTTAAGGGAGACGGGGTGGGTGGTAAAAAGTTTAAAAACCTAAAAGTTTAGGCCGGGCGCGGTGGCTCACACCTGTAATCCCAGCACTTTGGGAGGCCGAGGCGGATGGATCACGAGGTCAAGAGATCGAGACCATCCTGGTCAACATGGTGAAACCCCGTCTCTACTAAAAAAAAAATACAAAACATTAGCTGGGCATGGTGGCTCGTGCCTGTAATCCCAGCTACTCGGGAGGCTGAGGCAGGAGAATTGCCTGAACCCAGGAGGCGGAGGTTGCGGTGAGCCGAGATTGCGCCATTGCACTCCAGCCTGGGTAACAAGAGCGAAACTCCGTCTCAAAAAAAAAACCTAAAAGTTTAAAAAAGAACAATTTAAAAATTTTCCTATATATTTTAGCTTTTCCAAATCCATTTATTTTTCCCTCAAATTTCCCCCTGCCCCAATTGTCCTTTTCTTTCCCAGTCCTTTCCTCTTTGCAGCAAAAATAGCAGTGTGAAAGGATGATGCTGAAAGCAAAGTGGGAGCGAGCTGTTTGGAAAGGGACAAAGTGAGTCACAAAAGGGACTTTGTCTGGGCAAAGCTGGAAGTGGGACAGTAGGAAGCAGGTCAGCTTTCTAGTGCCCAAACACCGTAGCACTCCCAGGCTGCAGCCTTCTGAGGCAAGGGCTCACGGACCGAGGAGTACACCCGGGGCCTCACTGTCTTTCTCAAGCCCAGGAAGCAGACGTGGTAGGAGCACACAGGCCTGGGCTCCTGAAGGTTCTCTATCATCCTACAGGAAAATTACTCCTGGATGGAACAGAACCCCAACACGTGGCTCCTGTCTTACTCTTCTGCGTGTGAACAACTCCACACCTATGTGTGCTCACTTACACACATCTCTGCAAAGATGTTTCTGCTTTGGCACTATAGTTACACCTTCTGAATTAATCCTCTCCTGCTGCATTCCCTCCTAAGTCAGTAATAGGTAACTGTGCTAAGAAAGGCACTGCCTTCTCCACCATTAACCAACCTTCTTCTTACAAAAGAAGGGGAAACACCAAAGAACTCAGGTTTCAGAGGTTGAAGGCACCAGAGATCAACGCAGGACTCTTTCTGTGGTGTTTCTGTCTACCCTGAACAAACAAAACAAAACAAAACCAGTATGTTCTTGCCCTGTATGGCTGCATGTATGTATGTTGTGGTAGACACACTACGTAGGAAAGAATACATCTTACAGGTCTTATATTCACTCAGGCGTATAATTAAATATATCATGTAAAATAAGCTCAACTTCAAAAGGACATTGAGAGATACACTTTTATGACGCCACAGTCCTTGCCGTCTGAAGAAAGCTACAAGAGGTTAAGTGAGGGTGCCAGTACCTGAGGCGAGGAGGGCTCCAGGAGCTTGGACAAGCTGGTGAGAACAGTGACTAGCAAGACGGCTTCTCTGCTATTAAAATCTTCCTCCTGGCCGCTGAGCAAATTCAACAAGGACCTCTGAAAAAGGCAGGCACACACAGCAACGTTAGCAGACACGTTCCTACCGGGAAGAAGAGGCATCTAGTCAGAGACTCCTTAGATTGGGACAGAAAGAATTCAAAGCTACCAAAGTTCTAAGAGGATAAAATCTAAAAATGAGCCTAGATTGAGTAGCAGTTTCCTAAGCTGTTTCTGACCACAAACCTCTCTGAGAATCTTCCTGAAAACTGACTCTTTCTGTTCCAAGGCCATGCTAAACGTATATAAGGAACTATGTACCCAGTTTCTGGTGGCTCACACCTCCATGGAGCCTATCCGTCGTTCTCAGGCTTAGACCAGGCACCAAACCCAGCATTCCTTATATTATCTTCCCTGTTAGCTGAAGTAACTATGTCTTTGATTATTTATTTGTCAGTGTCTTTCTACTATAATCAAAGCTCCAGAAGGATAGGAATATTTTGTCTCTTTTGTTCCTGCGATATCCCCAGCACCTAGAACTGTTTCTGGCACATGGAAGGGACTTCAAAATTACTTGTTAAATGAAAAAAATCCTGTGATAGAACATCCTGCTATTTTGACAACGATTGGTTAGAAACTAATAAGCTTTACTGTCCAGTCTTTATGCAGTCTATCAGACCAAGTCAAATTATACCACAGACTCAAAAACAAAAACACAGATTCTATGTATACCTTGAAGGCTCCTTTCTGTCTGTATCAATTCCAACAGTGGTCCTTGGAGGTAATGAGTTTTGCAGGTTGGGATGGCTAAATACACATCCTCACTAGGGTCCTTTGAAATACATTATCCTCCATTCTGAGAGCTATGTCCTGTTGCTTGGATGACCCAAGGAAAAAACTCCTCTCTTGCTTGCTCACTGTCTGCCCATTCTTCCAGCTGTCCCTGCTAACAGTTCCCTTGCAAGGCCCCTCCGGCCAGTACAGCAGCTTCGAGGCTTCTCACCTGAAACTGCCGGATCTGGAATGCTGTCCTCTGAGTGACACTGATGTCTGCATCTTCTCTCTCTCCTCCTTCCTTATCTGTGACATCTAGGAATGGAAAACAAACTGTCTTCTTCGATATAAATTCATGCTTTTAGGCCTTTTAACAGCTAAAATTTTAGCCAAAAAAAGGCTAATGGCAAACTTAAATGTATTTCTAAAATTTTGTGATTTCTTAACACTAGATTCCATTTTCCAGACACTCTTTGCGGCTGAGTGTAATCCACTACGTGCCAATCTTGAATCCACTAGATGTCACTCCTTAGCAACACTAGGACTGTTCTCAAATGTCTTCGTAGGTTAACAAATGGAATTAAGGGGCTGAGTTCAGGAGAAAGCCAAACCAAGCCAATTTATTGATACTCCAAAGCTTACCCAGAGCTCTGAGAAACTGCTGAATCTTGGGCTGATAGAACTGCTGCACAGCACTGAATATTTTCTGTAAACCCTCCAAGCACAGCAGTGAGATGCTCTTTCCTTTCTCTTTCTTTCCCGACTCTTCCACTGAAGTGGGTATTGAAGTGTATCTCCAAAGCAAGACCCTGAAGCAGGGGAAAGTGGTTTTGTTTTTAAAGACAAATTCACTGAGATAAAATTACATACAGTAAAATTCATACCCTGCAGGTGAACAGTTCTGAGTTTAAAACAACGTATGTGGTTGTGTAATCTCCTGATAGTAAGCTATTTCTACTGCTCTGTAAGTTCCCTTGTGCTCAGATAGTCAATTCTCTCCTCCCATTTCCAAGCAACTACAGATCTAATTTCTGTCCCTATGGTTTTACTTTCTACAAAATACCATACAAAAATGGTTATCATTCAGTATATACCCTTCTGAGTCTGCCTTTAACACAGCAGACTCTACATTCATGAGGGATATTGCTGTGCAGTTTCTTTGCAATGGTTGGGGTCTGGTTACATAATAGGGTAATGCTGGCCTCATTAATTAAATGAGTTGGAATATGTTCTCTCCTTTTATTTCTAGAAGAATTTACACAGAATTCACATTACTTCTCCCTTAAATATATGGTGGAATTGACCACTGAATAGACCTAGATCTGAGGTTTTGTGAAGAAAGTTTGAACCACAGATTCAATTTCTTTGAATAGAAATAAGATTACTCAGGTTGCTTTTTTTTTTTTTTTTTCCCCAAGATGGAGTCTCACTCTGTCACCCAGGCTGGAGTGCAGTGGTGTGATCTCAGCTCACTGCAACCTCACACCTCCTAGGTTCAAGTGATCCTCCTGCCTCAGCTTCCCAAGTAGCTGGGACACATATCACCATGCCTGGTTAATTTTTGTATTTTTTTAGTGGAATCGGGGTTTCACCATGTTGGCCAGGCTGGTCCTGACCTCAGGTGATCCACTCACCTTGGCCTCCCAAAGTGCTGGGTTTACAGATGTAAGCCACCACACCCGGCCAGGTTGCCTATTTTTTGTTGAGTGAGCTTTCAAGAAACCTATCCATTAACATTTATTAGCATAAAACTGTTAATATTCTATTATCAATTTTTGAGCATCTGTAGGATCAGTAGTGATGTCTCCTCTTACTCATTTCTGCTATCTGTGATGTGTCTTTTCCTGATTAGTCTGACTAAAGTTCATTAAATTTATTGATCTTCTCAAAGAACTAGCTTTCTTTTTCTGTTTTCTATTTTAACTTTCTCTTTTCTCATAATTGTGCTTTTGTCTGTTTCCTTCCTTCTGACTACTTTCATTATATTCTGCTCTTTTTCTGTTTTCTTAATGTGGAAGTTTATATGAGAGATTTGAGATTTTTAAATCACTAACTGCTCTAATTTCCTCAATAGTGCTTTGGCTGGATCACATGTTTTGACATGTTGTCTGTTTCTATTCAGGATATTTTCTAATTTCCCTTAGGACTTTTTGACTATGGGCTATTTAAAAGTGCATTTACTTTCCAATTATATGGGGATTATCTAGATATCTTTCTGTTACTGCTTTTTTAATTCTGTTATGGTCAGAGAACATAATGATTTCTACTTTTTAAATCTGCTGAGTTTTTATGGCCTAAATATGGTTCATCTTGGTAAATATGCCATGTGCACATAAAAATACTGTGTATTTTCAAGCTGCTGTGGAGTGTTCTGTGCGTGTTAATTAAATAAAGCTGAGTGACAGTGTTGTTCACATCTTCTACCTCCTTCCAGTAGAGTCTATCTACTGTTTTTTTTTTTTACTATGGGGAGAGGATTGATTATAATTAAGGATTTGTCTATTTTTCCTTTAGTTTCATCAGTTTTTGCTGTATTTTGAATCACTTAACCATGATGTAATATCCGCTTTTTTCCTCTGATAATAGAACATTTTATATGTGACTAACAATCCATATCAAAGCAAGACTAGAAGCCCTAGTGAACCCAAGAGTTAAAGGCCAGTCTGGTCAACATAGCAAACCCCATCTCTTTAAATAAAGGGGGGAAAAAAAAAAAAAAAAGGCCTCAGTGGCTCAGGCTTGTAATCCCAGCACTTTGGGAGGCTGAGGCAGGCATATTGCTTGAGCCCAGGAGTTCAAAACCAGCCTTGGCAACATGGTGAAATCCCATCTCTACAGAAAATTTTTTAAAAATAAGAGCCAGGTACAGTAGCTCACACCTGTTATCCCAGCACTTTGGGAGGCTGAGGTGGGTTGATCACTTGAAGTCAGGAGTTTGAGATTAGCCTGTCCAACATGGTAAAACCCTGTCTCTACTAAATGTAAGTTAAATTAAATTAGAATGTAAAAATTAGTTGGGCATGGTGGAGCACACCTGTAGCTTCTCAGGAAGCTGCAGTGGAAGGATTGCTTGAACCTGGGAGGCAGAGGTTGCAGTGATCCAAGATGGCACCACAGCATTCCAGCCTGGGCAACAAAGCGAGACTCCATCTCAGAACAAACAAACAAACAAACAAACAAACAACAAAAGGCAGGGGGCCAGGGGAAGGCAGGACTAGAAAAAGATCCTATGTCAATTACTGCATTTTCTTTCACTTTTTTTTTTGAGACAGACTTTTTGTTGTTGTTTTTGTTTTTTTAGATGGAGTTTTGCTCGCTGCCCAGGTTGAAGTGCAGTGGTGCGATCTCAGCTCACTGCAACCTCTGCCTCCAGAGTTCAAGTGATTCTCCTGCCTCAGCCTCCCAAGTAGCTGGAATTAAGGCAGGCACCACAACACGCAGCTAATTTTGTATTTTTAGTAGAGATGCAGTTTGGTCAGGCTGGCCTCGAACTCCTGGGCTCAAGGGATCTGTCTGCCTTGGACTCCCAAAGTGCTGGGATTACAGGCATGAGCAACCACGCCCAGCCTAAGATAGAGTCTTGCTCTGTCACCCAGGCTGGAGTGCAGTGGTGGGAACTGAGCTCACTGCGACCTCCACCTCCTGGGTTCAAGCAATTCTCCGGCTTCAGTCTCCCAAGCAGCTGGGATTACAAGCGCCTGCTATCATGCCCGGCTGATTTTTTGTATTCTTTCACTCTTAAAATACGTCCAACTTCAAACTACCTTCATCCTCCGTTCCCAACTTGTTCTCTGGAGAAACCATAGCCACGTGGAATAGGCTTCTAAGGAGTGGGAGTGGCTTACCGAGTTATGTCACAGAGGTTCTGAAAAATCTTGTCTGGGTTTTGGCCATCAGGGCCACTCATATGCCCTGTTTCCTTTAACCGCTGCACTTTCTGCAGAGCTACATTCACTGCATAGCGCATAAACTCATTGTTGGACCTGAGAACAGAAAGGCTTTCTTGGTGGCTTTGGGTACTATCCCTAGAGAGAGAGAGAAAAAAAGAAGATTCCCTTATTGTTACTGGGATACGGAATTAAGCTTTTGCACACCCAACAGAGCCTGCCAATAAGCTCTGAATGGCAGACTCTCTAGGGAGCCCAAGATCCAGTCATGGCTATGGCTGCCCTTTTATAATCATTACTCTTAGTTGTTCCTCATTTTCTCCCCATCCTCAAATCCTTTACTTGGGTAAAATGTAAATGTACGTCTTAGTCTAAAGTTTTTTTTGTTGTCCCTTTGTATTTTTAATTCGGTCACCCCCTAACTTTTTATTTTTATTTCTTATTTATTTATTTTTTTGAGAGGAGTTTTGGTCTTGCTGCCCAGGCTGGAGTGCAATGTCGTGAATGCGGCTCACTGCAACCTCCGCCTCCCAGGTTCAAGCAATTCTCCTCCCTCAGCCTCACAGTAGCTGGGATTACAGGCATGTGCTACCACACCCCACTAATTTTGTATTTTTAGTAGAAACGAAGTCTCACCATGTTGGTCATTGCTGGTCTCAAACTTTTGACCTCAGGTGATCCACCAGCCTTAGTCTCACAAAGTACTTGCATTACAGGCGCGAGCCACCGTGCCTGCGCCCCCACTTTTTAAAATCTGTTATTTTATATAAGCTACTTACATAGATTTTCTTATAACACCCTGTTGGAATTCATCCCTCTCTTTTCATTTATTAGATCACTGTTTCTCATTTTTCCTTTTAACGATTCAAGGTACCTATATAAAGTACCTACATAGGGTTGTCCAGCTTTCATTTCAAGAAAATTAAAACCTCCTGACTTAGTTCTTACTGTAAATAGTCCAAACTAGGTGAAACGAGTGTGCCTAGGCAGGCAACCTACCCTCAGGGAGCGGCTGTCGTTAAGCACACTAGCAGAACCTACCTGAACAGAGCAGTGAGAAGACTGGACACACATTTCATGGACAAAAAACTATCATTTGTCTTGTTGGTCATTTTTGTTTTGCCTTTACCAGCTTTTTCATTAAGGATGTCAGAGAGTTTTTTGTAACACATAAATAAGCTCAGAACGTCCTCAAACTTATTCTTACTGTGAAAAACAAAACAGAGACCACTAAGGACAAACATCAGAATACTGTGGTTTACTTTCACCCGTGATAAGGAAACCACAATATTTCTGTAAATGTCATATTTTAGACATAACATTATAAATGAATGGAACTTCATTAATATAATACTCCTAGGTCACACCAATCTATTTTGAGACAGGCCTCACTCTGTCGCCCAGACTGGAGTGCAGTGTTGTGACCTCAGCTCACCACAACCTCTGCCTCCCAGGCTTGAGCGATTCTCCTGCCTCAGTCTCCCAAGTAGCTGGAATTACAGGTCCCCGCCACTACCACTCAGCTAATTTTTATATTATTAGTAAAGAGAGAGTTCACCATGTTGGCCAGCCTGGTCTTGAATTCCTGACCTCAAGTGATCCCACCTTGGCATCCCAAAGTGCTGGGATTACAGGCGTGAGCCACTGTGCCTGACCTCCCCTCCCTTATTTATACCAGTCCCTGCAGAGTATGAAAGTCCAATACTACCACCAATCAAAATTTTCATGTTATCATGAGGAGTTCTTGAATTCAGGGTCTGGGAAATTCTGAGGAGGTGAAAGCCTGCTGGAGGCTTTCATTTCCTAGGCCTGGTAAGCATGCACTTGAGTGCTCTCTAGTGGAATGAACACAGTTGAGTCTTAGACTAGGTGTTCATTTAAGAGAGAGTGTCATAGTCTGTGGTCTGTTTACTGCTAGAGTGAAAATATATAAATATAAAGGAGAATTCATCAAATTACGAGTTATAGCAATACCTTACCTAAAATTACCTATGGAGAAATTGTATTCAATTAAAACCTCACAAACTCCCATCACAAGAAAGGCACAGATATTATTTTTTATGCCAATACTGGTGCTCTGAGAAAAATCTGCTGATTTATCCTAAAAGACACAAGATAAAAATTAATAAGCTACTAAAGAACCTCATCATTCAATACAGCTGAGGACTTAGCAATTACCAGTTCAAAGTCTTCTAGCTCACTCTTAATCATTCTATTAGTAATGGACTCCAATATATCATCTAGGTCTTGGTAGAACGCCTCTTCCTCCTCCTCCTCCTCCTCCTCCTCCTCCTTTCTCTGCTGTAAGGGTATCACTGTATTCTTATACCAGGCCAAACAATGCTGAATACAACACAGTAGATAATCCTGTAGGAGAAAGAAAGTAAATTAAATACTCGTGATAACAAGGGATAACCCATAAGGTATTCATAACCAGCAAGTAATTCCCATCTATAAGGCTAAAGAAAAGAACTCATTAGCATTACAAATTAAATCCATCTAAATTAACAAAACTGGGCAAATAAACTGAATAGCAGCATGCTTTTCTGATGCTTCCCCCCAAAACTGGCCTAAGTGGCTGACACCTCAAAATGCAACATTACATGTGCTGTCTCTGGTCTGAAACAAATAACCCTGGAGCTAGGTGGTGAAGTTAAATCTTCTCTAGTTTTCATTTGAGTCCCAGAGACTATTCTAAAAATAGAGGTTTATGTGGAGGGAATCTTTAGGAGACCAACACAGTATCTTAGATCTAGGCTGAGGACATTTCATGTCATAGAAGGCACAAAAATGAAGGCAAGATATGGCAACTGAAAGACTTCCTCCTCTTTCTCTGCCAAGAGTTGTAAGTTGCTTGGGGTGAGTTTCCATTTTTCTCCTCTTCCGTGTTCTTCTGAGGCTAGATAAGAACAGAAACTCAACCAGGCCTAGCTCCTCTGAAGGTTCGACAGTGCCAATCCTGGTTCAGCCTAAATCATACACTTCCTCTGGACTAATGAGGCAGGTTCCTAGGTTCATCTGTTCGTAGGTAACATCATCATCACTCTCCCCACTCTAAAGTATATTTAGTGAATGTAATCAAAGATTCATAAATGAGATAAGATACTCTCTGGGGGAAGCCTTGATTTAGTAAAGGGCTAACATGGAGATAACTTACCAATAGATCCAAAATTATAATGGTTCCGAAATGATAAGCAAGGAAGACTTAAAAGTACACATTCATTGGGAGAACCAGCAATAGTTTCACAGCGAAAGGTATCTTTTTGCAGAGATCAACCTTATCTTTAATGGTAAAAATAATGGTTGAAGGAAGAATAAAAGTCTCACCAGTGGTTCCTGTAGCGAGATCTTATCTCCTTGGGCCAGAATACAAGCTTCTAATTTCAGAGGAGGCAACAGATCAGGTTTTGGCTCATAGAACTGTTTTAACTGTTTATAGTCAGAAAAAAAAAGATACCCTGGTTCATAAATGCTTTTTACTTTTTTAACTTGTCAGGTGAAAGGTATCTTTAATGTCTAATGTCTTCTAAGACACATTTCCCAACTGTTCAAAGGACAATGCAGCCAAGTTTTGATTGCTTTGGCTCACCCATGTCCTTTGCTCTTGCTTTGGATATCGTACCGATTAGAATCATCTTCCCTATTCCAATTCCTTCTGTTCCTAAACTTGTACATGCACTCAACATTTTCAGTTAACTTGGAGGTTAAAAATACAGGATCCAGAGTCTCAGACTGGCTGAGTCCAAGATTCTAGTACACTACTTATTACTGGTTTTTATAAAGGTCTCTGTACCTTGGTTCCTCATCTTAAAACTGAGGATATTATTAATATTCATTATATAAGGATTAAACATGACAATACATGTAAAGTACTTCAAACAGTATTTGGCATGTAAGAGAGCTGAAAAAATATTAGTTATTATTTTTCTCCTTTTAACTTTTGGAGTCTGCAGAATTTTACTAGTCTGCATATTAACCTGAGTCAGAAAGCACTATTCTATGCCTTTAAACATGATTTTCTGTTTTTGTTAAATGTGTGAATGTAGATGTGTTGATTACAGTTTGAAAGATACAATATAACAGAATATAAATTTAAAATAGGATCAGGCCCAAGGCCAAATGAAGCACTTTTGATTGACAGTATGGGACCTTCCAGTAATGTTCACACATCTGAGACCTTAATTTCAAATGAAACGTCTAACTATCACAAAGCAATGGCAGTGATAGAGAGAGAACAAACAGAATGAAAAACTAGGGGTCTAGGGGTGCCTAGAGGAGTCCTCCTGATAGACTCTGTATGAATTCTTCTCATCTTGATGGTCCTTTGAAATATTTCATAATTTAAACCTCCTGGTAGAGTCTCTATATAAATTCTTCTAATCTGGATGGTCCTTTGAAATATTTCATAATTTAAAAATACTTTTCGTTAACTGAAAAGTACAGAAAGGAACCTAAAAGACATCCATGTATCTGTTACCTAGATTTAAGAAATAACATTTTGCTATATTTGTTTCGGATTTCTTTTTCTTTCAGAAATATAATGGATCTAGGTGCTGATAGTCAGTCCCTATATAAACGGTTCTTCAAAACGTCCTTCTGACTTAGGATACAGACTGTTGATTCACAGAGATAACTGCTAGATGATGGTATTTTGGCATACAGGTGAGTGGTAACCAAGATGAGACAACCCAGAACAGCATCACAAACCCCCAGCATGTTCACAAAGTACCAGTGTATTAGTTGGAAATTATTTTGTATCTTGAAAGGTCTAAAAAATACCAATTGTCTCTCAATCCTTCATTATCTGTTTTCCCTGTATCCATAAAAATGTATTTTACCTGTGAGAGCAGAGTTTGCATTATTGAATTAGCCAGCTGAGAGTTCCTTCGAAGAACATCATAAAACCCCTAAGACGAATCAAAGAGAAGAAATAAGCACTTTAACAGAGATACTAATGATCTGGACAATCACAACTCTAAAATAACACTTTATCCTACTCTCAGTTCTTTCCTGCTAAGACTATATCTGATGGTCCTAAATGCCCTAATATAAATGACCGTATTTTTTTCCCACCCAAAATTTCATAATCTTAGTTAAGAACTGCTCAGATTAAAATCCTGGGGAGGCCAGGTGCAGAGGCTCACACGTGTAATCCCAGCACTTTGGGTGGCCGAGGCAGGCAGATCCTTTGAGGCTAAGAGTTGGATACCAGGCTGGCCAACACAGCAAAACTCTGTCTCTACTAAAAACATAAAAATTAGGCAGGAGTGGTGGCAAATCCCCATAATCCCAGCTATTCAGGAGGCTAAGGCATGAAGGCTGTGGTGAACTCCAGCCTGGGCAACAGAGCAAAACTCTGTCTCCAAAAAAATTCAATAATCCTGGGGAGAACTTTCTTTCTGGAACCTGGAAAAGAGGTTATACAGTTCATCTATGAGTAAAAGCAAATGAGACTTGATAAAAAAAATTTGTTTAAAGAAAAGATACAGGACCAGCATGGTGGCTCACGTCTGTAATTCCAGCATTTTGGGAGGCCAAGGTGAAAGGATCACCTGAGGTCAGGAGTTTGAGACCAACCAGGCCAACACAGCGAAATCCTGTCTCAACTAAAAATACAAAATTAGCTGGGCGTGGTGGCGCATGCCCGTAATCATAGCTACTGGGGAGACTGAGGCAGGAGAATCGCTTGAACCGGGGAGGTAGAGGTTGCCGTGAGCTGAGATTGCACCACTGGACTCCAGCCTGGGCAACAGAGCGAGACTCCATCTCAAAAAAAGAGAAAAGTGTGAGCCGGGCGCAGTGGCTCACGCCTGTAATCCCAGCACTTTGGGAGGCCGAGGCGGGTGGATCACAAGGTCAAGAGATCGAGACCATCCTGGTCAACATGGTGAAACCCCGTCTCTACTAAAAATACAAAAAATTAGCTGGGCATGGTGGCGTGTGCCTGTAATCCTAGCTGCTCAGGAGGACGAGGCAGGAGAATTGCCTGATCCCAGGAGGCGGAGGTTGCAGTGAGCCAAGATCGCACCATTGCACTCCGGCCTGGGTAATGAGGGAAATTCCGTCTCAAAAAAAAAAAAAAAAAAAAAAAAGAGAAAAGTGCAAAGTGAAGCAACAACTGCTGATGGAGAGGCTGAGGCAAATTATCCAGAAGATACAGCTACCATAATTGATGGAAGTGGCTATATTCAAACAATGAATTTCCAATGTAGATGAAATAGCCTTATTCTGGAAGAAAATTTTATCTGGAACTTTCTTAGCTAGGGAGAAGTCAATGCCTGGCTTCAAAGGACAGGCCAACTGTCTTGTTAGGGGTTAATGTAGCTGGTAAGTTTAAATTGAAGTCAATGCTCATTTACTATTCCAAAAATCCTAGTGCTCTTTAGAATTATGCTACATTTACTCTGCCTGCGCTCTGTAAATGGAACAGCAAAGCCTGCATGACACCACATTTGTTTATAGCACGTTTACCAAGTATTTTAAGTCCACTGTTGAGACCTACTGCTCAGAAAAAGAAAAAGATTATTCTCAAAATATTACTGCTCCTTGACAGTGTACCCAGGCACCTAAGAGCTATGATGGAAATGTACAGAACAGGGGTCCCCAAACTTTTTACACAGGGGGCCAGTTCACTGTCCCTCAGATAGTTGGAGGGCTGGACTATGCAAGGTGTGACACCCTTCACAGCCAGCGCTGCTGCCTCCACTATCCCAGACAGCAGTATACAGTGTCACAGGCCCAGCACCTCCTCCAGTGCTGTATACAGGGATGGCGGTGATCAGCCTGTGACACTGTGTATACAGTGTCCTGGACATCTGCAGCAGTGGTGGGCCTCTTCTGTGGGAAGCCCACTGCTGCATGTTTCTCCTATTATAAGACACCACCTAAAAATAAGACAGCCCCCATCTTTTGGGGGTAAAATTAATATAAGACAGGGTCTTATAATAGGAGAAACATGGTGTGTAGTAATGTGGGGGGAGACTTTTGGGCAAAGGGAGGTTATAGGGGCCATTATGTTGTTGTACATTTGGGGGAGTATGGGGGCCATTGTACTGTGTAGTAGTGGTTATAGTGCTTTGCCTTTCTTCCTACTTCTGCTGTTATTTCACACTGCTTCTGGTGATGTGGGGCGCTGCAGCCGCAGACCAGATGTGCATCATATGACACGCTTCCGGAGCCGTGACACGTGCATCCCGCATCACCGAAAGTAGTACTGTACATGAGCGATGCCGCGCTTTGTGGCACTGCCACATACAGTACTCCAGGAGCGCATCCTGTGCTCCTTTCACTGACCACCAATGAAAGAGGTGCCCCTTCCTGAAGTGCGGCGGGGGCCAGATAAATGGCCTCAGGGGGCTGCATGTGGCCCGCGGGCCGCAGTTTGGGGACCCCTGGTATAGAAAGATCAATGTTGTTTTCATGCATGCTAATACAATATCCACTAGGTGAGTTATATGCTAATCACAAGTCCATAGTTATACTGTCATAAAAATTAGTGATTTAATCAGACATTCAGTAAACTGTTGAAAACCCAGTCCAAAAAGAAAAAAGAAGTTGCTTTTATAAAAACTAAGTTAGCCCAGGCACACAGTGGCTCACGCCTGTAATCCCAACTCTCTGGCAGGCTGAGGCAGGCAGATCACTTGAGGCTGAGAGTACGAGACCAACCTGGCCAACATGGTGAAATCCCGTCTCCACTAAAAATACAAAAATCAGCTGAACATGGTGGCACACACCTGTAATCCAGGCTACTCAGGAGGCTGAGACGCAGGAGAATTGCTTGAACCCGGGAGATGGAGGACAGAGGTTGCAGTGAGCTGAGATTGTGCCACTGCACTCCAGCCTGGGCAACAGAGTGAGACTCTGTCTCAAAAAAAAAAAAAAACTAAGTTACGCGGTGGCTCACGCCTGTAATCCCAGCACTTTGGGAGGCCGAGGTGGGCGGATCACAAGGTCAAGAGATCGAGACCATCCTGGTCAACATGGTGAAACCCCGTCTCTACTAAAAATACAAAAAAATTAGCTGGGCATGGTGGCGCGCGCCTGTAATCCCAGCTACTCGGGAGGCTGAGGCAGGAGAATTGCCTGAACCCAGGAGGTGGAGGTTGAGGTGAGCCGAGATCACACCATTGCACTCCAGCCTGGGTAACAAGAGCGAAACTCCGTCTCAAAAAAAAAAAAAAAAAAACTAAGTTAAATGTTTGGAAAGTCAGTCTCTAAAACCAATTTCTGATAAATGAGGAGTAAGACAATTATAAAAAGTTAGAGAAAAAAACTGAAGCTATCTAAAAGATTTTTATACTACACTGTACCTGAAGTAGCTTAAAGTTTTTATACCACTTTCGGTAAACATAAATTTAAAACTATAGGCAATAAATTAAGGGTTTGCATGATACACAGGAAGTAAACCTCTACTCAATAACAAAGCAAAATAAAGGACTTGTGGCAAATTAATACATTTAAATATTTCAAATTAAAATAAAGTGTTTAAGGTTTATCAACTATGTTTTACGATTCCTCACCTTAAAAACCTTAAAAAAACTTTTTTAGAGACAAGGTCTCACTCTGTCGCCTGGGTTGGGGTGCAGTGGTGTGATCACAGCTCACTGCAGCCTGAAACTCCTGGGCTCCTCCTGCTTCAGGCTCCTAAGTAGCTGGGACCACAGGCACATGCCACCACACTCAGCTAATGTTCTTTATTTTCTTATTTTTTTGTAAAGACAGAGTCTTGCTTGATCCTCCTACCCTGGCCTCACAAGGTGTTGGGATTACAGCCGTGAGCCACTGTGCCCTGCTTTAAACTTTTTTGACTAAACATCACTAGCTACTAGTGCTGACTACATCAAATAAGAGCATATCTACTGTGCTTTTATAATCAGGAAAAAATGTACTAAAATAAAGTGAATTATTAGTTGAGGGTTTGCTACATTCCTTCCATTCTACTGACTTACCTCATAAAGCATGAGTCGAACATCAGCTTGCTGGCTTAAGCATCTCCTCAAACTATCCATGATCTCGAGGCAAAAAGTTTCATTGGCGACAGAATTGTAATGGCCATGAACATCCACATGAACCTGAAAGGAAGACAGGCCAACTCATGTCTATCTTATGAAAGCAGTTTCCAACAGGAGCTAAGTAAGCCTAATTTCTTGATCAAAAAAACTTACACTTAGCTTTCTTCACATGCCAAACCCCAGGATAAGACAGGCAGTATAATGATTACCATGCAGAAGTGTCACTCTTATTCTGGTTTGGAATAAGAGAATTTCTAAGCATTTTAACAAAATTAACTGTTCCCCATTCCTTAAGGTTTCCTTGACAATATCAATTGCTTAGGAAGGCACACTGCCTATTTCAAGCCATTAGAATCTAGTAGTAATAATATACGTAATTTTATTTAAATGGTCTCAGACTTCTTCAAGAGCTAGAAGATTCTTGCTCTTCCACAAATTCTAGAAAGGTTTAGAGGAAGACAGTCTTTTGTTTAGAAATGGACATGACAAAGAATTGCCATCCTTTGTGTGAATTACATAATAAAATCAGCAACTTTAGACCTAATCCTTACACCAGGCATCACATACTGCCTGAGGCCAAATCTTTTTTCTTTTTTTTTTTTTGAGACGGAGTTTTGCTCTTGTTACCCAGGCTGGAGTGCAATGGCGCGGTCTCAGCTCACCGCAACCTCCGCTTCCTGGGTTCAGGCAATTCTCCTGCCTCAGCCTCCTGAGTAGCTGGGATTACAGGCACGTGCCACCATGCCCAGCTAATTTTTTGTATTTTTAGTAGAGACGGGGTTTCACCATGTTGACCAGGATGGTCTCGATCTCTTGACCTCGTGATCCACCTGCCTCAGCCTCCCAAAGTGCTGGGATTACAGCTTTGAGCCACTGCGCCCGGCCACCAAATCCTTTTTCTACCCTTTCTTGGTTAGATAACCTTGGGCAAGTTATTTAACCTGACTCAGTCTCAGTTTCCCTATTCCTGGTTTTGTTTGTTTGTTTGTTTGTTTGTTTGGGGGGGGGCGGAGTTTTGGCTCTTGTTGCCCAGGCTGGAGTGCAATGGCGTGATCTCAGCTCACTGCAACCTCTGCCTCCTGGGTTCAAGCAATTCTCCTGCCTCAGCCTCCTGAGTAGCTGGGACTACAGGCACCCGCCACCATGCCCAGCTAATTTTTGTATTTTTAGTAGAGATGGGGTTTCACTATATTGGCCAGGCTGGTCTTGAACTCCTGATCTTGTGATCCACCCGCCTCAGCCTCCCAAAGTGCTGGGATTACAGGCGTGAACCACCACGCCTGGCCAGTTTCTCTATTCTTAAAATGGGGATAACACACAAATGATTCCTAGTGTTCCTAATATTTAATCTGTGTTATACGTTATAGACAAAAGCTTTATATAGTTATACCAAAACAATAGTGAGGATTCCTAGTGAAACTGTTACATATAAATATGTCTCCTATTTATAAATTTTATAGTACATCAAATTATGAAGACAATTTTATTGCTTCAAAGCCTAGATTACCATATTATGATAAAAAGGTTTGTTTTCTCAGATTACAAGGTGTAATAGATGTATATGTGCAAAGTAAATAAATTAACATAAGCAAATAGGGACAATAATAGCATTAGCCTCAGAGGACAACTGTTAAGATTAAATGAGATAATCAATGTAAAGCACTTTAGCATGGTCTAGCACAGTGCTATCCAAAAGAAATATAATATGAACCACAAATGCAAGCCATATATGTAATTTTATATTTTCTAGTAGCCACATTAAAAAAGTAAAGAGAAAGAGATAAAGTCATTTTAATATTTTCTGTAATCCAACACATACAAAATTCTATCTGTAGGTATAATCCAGATTAAAAATTATTAGATGTTTACACTCTTAAAATCTGGTATGAATTTTGCACACTAGCCAAATTCAGTCAAATGCTCCGTTCAACAGCCATCTTGAGGATAGTGGCCACCAAACTGGATAGCACAGCACAGCATACAGTAGATCTGCCATTGATAAGTGTTAGCCAATATCATCATCATCACCATCATCATCAGCAGACTCTTTAGTTCCAGGATCATTGTTACAACCATAACAGGAATAAAAGGCAACAGCGTGCATTTATTTCATTAATGCACATGAATGAAATGCACACAGTGTGAGTTAACATAAACACTCCTTACCTGACTGACACTAAGAGACTGACTGCACTGGGAGGATGATAGGCTGCCTAAAACTTTAAAGTTCTTCAGGAGCAGCAAAAACCCAGCAACTGCAGATTTTCGGGCATCAAGCTGGCTAGCTCAGAAACAGAGAAGTTAACAAACAGTACTATTTCACAAGAATACGCTCTCCATCACAAAAATCCAGCAGTTCCATACAGAGAAGGAATATGTACAAACAATGAAGCATAGAGCAAAACAAAGTGAATTTATATACTCACAATAAGGTATCAGCTCTTCAAAGGAATTTACAGTACAGAACCTGAACTGACTTTTTTCATTACTTAACTCATGATACTCTACTTCCTTCTATCCTGCTCTCAAGTCTATGTGAGGAGTAAGAGTAAGAGTGCTGAGAGACTGTAAAATTGGTTGGTTACTCAAATGTAAGGAATTGCTGATTTTGCCTGTTTGGAGGAGTGCTTCCCTTCACATGCTCTTTTATCACAGAAGAATGTAGTACTCGATGTCATGTAAACTCTCCTTCCAGAAAATGTCACACTCATCTCACTGAGGCTCAACGATTAATTCATGTTAAAGATGTGACAACATAATGTCTCAGTCTGTTAGCCATGCCTTTGGGTGAGGAGTAACAAAACTGTTAATTCTAAAACAAACATAATAGCAGATGGCTTAGTTGTTCCTCTCATCACCCATGAATATATTATAATATGGCCAGTGTGACATTAGTTGGGCATCTGATCCTCAAAGTACCAAATGCTTTTCACATATTACCATCTTATATTTTGAGGAGACAGTATTATCATCTCTAGCTGACGTACTAAGAAATAAAGGAAGAGATGTCAGGAGCTAACAGGCTACAAATAAAACTCAATGCTCTCAACAATTAATTTTATCTACTGGCCTCTAGATCACACTTCAGATGTTCACTAAAAGGAGATTCTTAAGCATACTCTTCTTGACTAAGGTGCTTTCCCCTTTAGAACTGCTGCAAGGTCAGGTTTCAGAGTATTTGGCACTAGAACATTATCCTGAAGATTATTCTAGTGTAGTACAGCAGAGTATATGACATCATAAGTTCTGATGTTAGACCTGACTTTGAATCCTCGCTCTACCACCAATTACTGTTTTACCTTTGGAAAGTCACTCATCTTCCCTAAGCCTAAATTTCCTTATCTGTAAAATGGAAACCGCAGTACTTCTTACTTCATAGGGTTGTTCTAAAGACCAAATGAAAAAAGCACACAGAGCACTCAGCACGAAGTCTTATTTGATGAAACTGCTCTGCGGGGTTAGGAATCTGCATGACCACTGGGAACAGGAGGTACTAGGAGATGGCAGGGATAACTTTAGCCCCAACATTAGAAGGAGACATCTTCCTATGATATAAAAAGACGCTACATACTTGGCAAACATAGCTTTCCGAAGGACAAGTATCAAGGAATCTCTCATTGACATGCTGACTTTGAGAAGGGGCTGAAAAAGAAACAATCACTGGGTAAAAACAGAACAAGTTTGCTTATTAGCCTGAGCTCATTTCTACCCAGTACAGTTACTATACAGCTTCTATAAGGAAGCGTATTCCTGTTTTATATCCATGTTTTAATGTTTATTACAGTTAACAAGAACAAGAGTATACTTTGAGACAGTAAAATGAAACTGGCTGTGAATGCCTTTGTAAATCTCTTGTACTCAATAATGTTCTAAGAGACTTTGAATTAGTTCATTAACTTGAAAATGAGTTGAGACAATAGTGCTATGGATAGTGAATGGAAAACAGTCTTGCTCAATGCTTTTGCCCTTTTAATACAAATTTTATGTTTCAGACTAAAGGGGAACAGAATTTCTTAGACATATATATTTATACAGAAATGCAACTTCACTACAGTTAAACCTCAGTTTCGGCGAGTTACTTGGGAAATCTGAAGACTTACCTGCACTGCTTTAAGCAGACTTTGTACAGTCTGAAGGGGCAGAAAGGACAAATAGTCAAAAGCTTCTGTGACTTTAGAAGAACAACTCTGAAGAACTAAGGGTGCATACATGACGATATTTGAAAGCAGGTCTGAAAAACAGAATCTACAATCAGTTGCCTCAAATAACTGAAGATATTTGAAATAAAATAAAAATATGGAGAAAGAAATGCAAAGTCTTTTGTTTCCTTTCTCAAGTAAGTCAAGTATACTGCAATACAAATTTCTACTGATTTTGTATATACTTTTTCTCCAATGTAACCAGGATAATTTTAGCTTTTTTCTGTGATAGTTTCAATTTTCATAAAAATTAAACTGCCTAAAAGAAAGGAGGAAACCTATTACATTGCCTAGACATAAGTAGTAGCACACATCTTCGTATGTCTAAGCTAAAATAAATCAATACGTATTTCTGAATGTTTACAACGTGCAAGCATAATATGGTCCTATTAGGAACACAGAAAGTATCAAACATCTTTTTTCAAAAATTTTAATACTTTAGTTGGAAGTAAAAAAAAATTTTTTTTAAGAATTAAAGAGGTCAGCGCCGGGCATGGTGGCTCAGGCCTGTAATCCCAGCACTTTGGGAGGCTGAGGCGGGTGGATCACGAGGTCAAGAGATCGAGACCATCCTGGTCAACATAGTGAAACCCTGTCTCTACTAAAAATACAAAAAATTAGCTGGGCGTGGTGGCGCGTGCCTGTAATCCCAGCTACTCAGGAGGCTGAGGCAGGAGAATTGCCTGAACCCAGGAGGCGGAGGTTGCGGTGAGCCGAGATCGCGCCATTGCACTCCAGCCTGGGTAGCAAGAGCGAAACTCCGTCTCAAAAAAAAAAAAAAAAAAAGAATTAAAGAGGTCAATCACAGAGTAATATCAAATATCTAAAAATACCAGACGTAGTTTATTGCCAACCAGATAGTAAAGAGAGTTTAAATAGGAGTTCAAAGGAAGAGAAGATCATTATGAGTTGGTATATATTAGAAAAGCAATGAGAAGGAATCTAAACCAGGTTCTACAAGATGGGCAATATTTAAATGCACAAAGAACCAGAAAGGCCTACATATATAAAAGGAAACCATGAGTGAAGGTATAAGAAAGGTAAGTATAAGACACATTAGGAAGACGGCAGGGAAATCAATGATGCTGGGGTAAAGAATCCAGGAAAGTAAATAACTGACTTTAACATTGAAAGGTAGGTTGGTATCAAACTGTCAAAAGACCTTCAGTGTCAGGATAAAGGGATGAGAATTTATTAAAGAACATATTGATGGTTTTCGAGTAATAAAGTGTTATTTTAGGAATACTAACCTGTGGTAATATGCAGGTTAAATTGCTGCAGGGAGAAGAAAAGGCCAGGAAACCAGTTAGAAAGCTGTGGCAGCTGTCTAAATTCAAGGTTGTAAGAATGAGAACTAGACAGTAAATGTGAGGTGCTGGGAAGGAGGGAACAAAAAGACAGAAAAAATAACAGTATAAGGGGAAAAAATGACAGAACTTAGGTACCAAATATGCTTGAGAGAATAAAAGGTAATTCTGGCCTCCAGGACCTGGAGAGTCACGCTTCAAATAACGGAAACAGGAGCAATGGAAAGGAAAATTTGTTTGAAGGGGACTGTATTATATTTGATGTAAAAGAAACACTGGTCACAGGCAGGAAAAGAAGTAAACTCTTAGAGTAATCAAAGAACTTAAGAGTTTCAAGGGAGTTATAAACAATGATGAATGATAGAGAAATTTTAAAAATTGGTGATTAAGGCCAGTAAATTCAGACATTAGGAGTTATGTATTAAAAACAGCAAATTCAGGCCAGGCATGGTGGCTCACGCCTGTAATCCCAGCATTTTGTGCAGCCAACGTGGGCGAATCACCTGAAGTCAAGAGTTCAAGACCAGCCTGGTCAACATGGTGAAAGCCTACCTCTATTAATAATACAAAAATTATCTGGGCATGGTGGCATGTGCCTGTAATCCCAGCTACTCAGGATGCTAAGACATGAGAACTGCCTGAACCCAGGAGGCAGAGGTTACAGTGAGCTGAGATTGTGCCAACGCATACCAGCCTGGGCAACAGAGTGAAACTGTGTTAAAAAAAGAAAACAGACCACCACCAATAACAACAAAAAAAACCCCAGCAAATTCAGAGGTTACTAGAGGGAAACGCTATGCAATCCGAATGTCAAGGCTAAAGAGACTAGAAAGTCAACAAGTGGCAGCAGGACAGCACTCATTTGAGAGGTATTAAGAAAAAGAATGTTGAAGCAAAATGAAAGTTTTACTTATTGGTTAAATGTTGCTTTCCTTACTAACAACTACAGCCTTCTTGACAATTGACAGTCATACACAACATAAATGGATTTGCTTTACTGACATCCAATTAAAGATACTGCATTTGAACTCTTATTAAATTTTTTTTCCAGGACCAAATGATTATGACATTTAAACGAAAATACTTCTAGGAACTTTATTCACCCTTTCAAAGTTTAATACCTAAGAAATGACTGATTGGAGAAGACGCTCTGGTTACAACCCTGTTGAGGACCTGCTCCAGAATTTCTTGTCTGACCATCTCATGGATCTAAAAAGAACAGAACCAATAAAATACTACTGGGTGAACTTCAGCTTTTAAGTTCATCAATCCATGTCAGGCCGGATGAAGAACAGTTTGGATATGGGTAAAACTCAAAAAATCACAATATAATGTGAATCATCTGGAAAGACAGAATCACTCAACTTTCCCCTTGTTCTGCACTTAGATGAGTCATTAGTAGGGTAAATACCATGTTTATTAGCCTAAAAGTACAGATCACATTGAAACATTGCTACATATACAGTTCAACATCAAACAGGACAAATTCGACTTAGGTATCCATTACATGACAACATCCATATTCCTGACATTATACATAACTTTTATTCTAAAAATTAAAATGTAAAATCCCATGAAAATTTCTAGAAACTTAAAAAATCTTCCCTAACCCCTTTCTGTTTCTAGAAGCCTAGCAGTTGCCTTTAAAAAGATGCATTCTGAATTTTCACATGAATTTTAGTTAAAATTCTTACTTGAACTTGATTACTTTATAGTACAGACTAATTTCTTCCAGACCTCAGACTGTTAGTGACTTCGTAATTTATAAAGATGTCTTGATAAAGCTGACATCTATGTTAAATCAAATAAAACATCTTTATAGTTTTGAAAAAATAATAATTTAAATACAAAAACATACTCAAAGATAATGTCTTTAACCATATCACTGTTAAGCAGGGTCACATATCATCGAATATACTTACAACTCGCGATAACTATTCTAATAATTAGTTCATAGTTCTGGATCAGAACACTAGATTTACACTTAGATCAGCCTCCCAAATAACTTTTTTTTTTTTTTTTGAGACGGAGTTTCACTCTTGTTACCCAGGCTGGAGTGCAATGGCGCGATCTCGGCTCACCGCAACCTCCGCCTCCTGGGTTCAGGCAATTCTCCTGCCTCAGCCTCCTGAGTAGGTCGGATTACAGGCATGTGCCACCATGCCCAGCTACTTTTTTGTATTTTTAGTAAGGACGGGGTTTCACCATGTTGACCAGGATGGTCTCGATCTCTTGACCCTGTGATCCACCCGCCTCGGCCTCCCAAAGTGCTGGGATTACAGGCTTGAGCCACCGTGCCCGGCCCATTTTTTTTTTTTAGAGAGAGAGTCTTACTCTGTCACCCACCCTGGCTGGAGTGCAGTGGCACGATCTCGGCTCACTGCAACCTCTGCCTCCTGGGTTGAAGCGATTCTCTTGCCTCAGCCTCCTGAGTAGCTGGGATTACAGGCACGTGTCACTGCACAGGACTAATTTTGTCTTTTAGTAGAGATGGGGATTCTCCATGTTGGTCAAGCTGGTCTCCAACTCCTGACCGCAAAAGATCCACCTGCCTTGGCCTCCCAAGTGCTGGGATTACAGGCGTGGGCCACTGCACCTGGCCCTAAATAACATTTTCAGCAGACACTCTTGGTGTGTAGCTGCATTAAACAACTGAACATCAAGAAGACTTAGAGGAATTACTAGCAGAGTTTTTAACCTCAGATATGATCTAGCATATTTTTATTCAAAAGAAAATACATTTTTGAAAGCTGTTGTGATATTGTCAAAAAGTGTAAATTTCCCATTTTGTGTTCTTTAAGAACGATGAAACAATAAGCATGATTCTATTTATTTTTTATTTTTTATTTTTTTGAGACAGGTTCTTACTTTGTTACCCAAGCTGCTGTGCAAACACAGCTCACTGTAGCCTTGACTTCCTGGGCTCAAGTGATCCACTTCAGTCCCCCAAGTAGCTGGGATGGCAGGTGTGTGCCATCATGCCTGACTAATTTTTGTATTTTTTGTAGAGATGAGGTTTTGCCATATTGCTTAGGCTGGTCTCAAACTCCTGAGCTCAAATAATCTGCCCATCTCGGCCTCCCAAAGTGTTGGGATTACAGGCATGAGCTACCACACCTGATCAAGCATGATTATTTTTTTATTTTCAGTAAAAATTCTTAAAAGCATGATTCTTTAGGCTTGATGTTCTATAATGACCTAAAAATTTTTTTTCTGTGTAAAAAAAACAGCATTAAAACAAAATAAAACAAAAACCAGAAATGGTTTACTGCTGCTGGAAGAAGAGAAAAATCAAGAAAAAGCTATCTTATATTCAAACTCTAGGTCAGAAACAATTAATAGGAATAAATGAATTATTGGATTATAAATATATATAAATAAATATAAATTATAAATATTTATATTATATTAATTATAATATAAATATTATAATTATATAAATATAAATATATTAATATCAATTATAAATAATATAAATATATTATTTATATTTATAAATAAATAAATGGATTAATAGGAATAAATGAAAAACTTACATAAAAGAAAAAGAAGGTAAGTATTCCATCAAACTGGATCTATGTTTCAATATTATCCTAATCTCTGTCATACATCCTCTGTCAAACTAATACATACTCAAATTTCCTTGTCCACCAAACTCCCAGGCAAATGCCAAGCCCTACATGGATTATTTAAACAAAACTAGGGAGTGGTTGCTAAAACAGTGTCTCACCTTAAAAGTTTCCAACAGTATATTAGCTCCAAGCTTACACGCATGCTGGTTTGGCATTCTAGAAAGATTTGGGCTGGTTTCAATAGCTTTTCCGTCAAGAACCTTCTTTGGCCCATATGAATCCATTAAAAGGAAACCAAGTTCTACCAGGCCCTGAGTAACATGGTCCCAACTATGAACACTGCAAGAAAACAAAGCTTAGTTAAAAAAGAAAAACTTAATAAGACATCTTACCTTTACATTCACTGGCCTATTACACACTTCCCAAACTTGACCTGGGTAACCAACACACTCTGCACATAAAAATTTTCTTTTCATACACCGTCTGACAGAATTCTGAATTCTTAAATGTACCATAATGGGAACAGCAGGCAAGTGGTCTCCAGTGACAGACAGAATACTGGGAAAATCCAAAAGCTAGAGAATATTCAAAAACATATAAAAGAAACTGGAATCTTTCAATTTGATAACCCTTAGATATTCCCATTCAAGATTTCATGATGAGAAGTTCATTGCTGCCTCTTCTGTTACCCAACAGCACTGACAGCACTTATGTATAGGCTCACAAATTAGCTCGCCTCCATAGACAGAAATTCTCCAGGATAGAGGTCATAGCATAGTCACATTTTTACTCATATTGCTTAGCACAAGGGTGCCTTATAAAAGAAACTCAGTAGATATTCAGAGCATAAATGGATGAGTGATCTGGTATCAACAGCATGAGCTAAAACTACAAATAATCTTTTGTAAAACAGTAGAATAATTGGTGATTTTATACCACTTAATGTTATATACCCCACGGTGGAAATAATATACATATAACCTTTATCTATTATATCTACCTGTTAAATTGCAACAAATTATAATGCAGCACTACAGAATGAAGTAGACAGTTATGGATAAAATATAATACTTTAACAGAGTTAACAATATTCATACTCTAGACAGCCAAAAATTCAATTACGTAAAATGGAGAAGGCATTACTGAAAGGTTCATTAACTGACTGCGGCAAGCATGTGCAACTACCCAGTCAATTATTTCAAAGGATCTAATAAGGCTATCCAAATCTCTCCCTGCGGAGGTTTGGTCCCACCTGGTGGCAAGTACCCACTCCAGGCTAATTATACACGGAAATGCTTTCAAGTCCTATGACAGTTGAGAGTTCCAGAAGACAGGCAGCTTTCCGAATTTCCTGGTTAGTTAGTACTGTTTCTTTAGCCCAAATTGAAGAGACTGGGTTGGGAAAATACTGGAGACATAACTAGAAACCTCAGGAAAAAGAATAACCAAATATAAAGATTAAAAAGCTTTAAGGCCTATCAATGGGTAAAACACTCAAACAATAAACTCTAATTTCACATTTTCCCTACTGCAAAGCTCATGTAAATTCAATCTATCAATAAATAAGAATTCCAGGCCTAGAAGAGACCTACTGTAAGTCATGCATAAATTATGAAACTTTAAAATATATTTAATGTACAAAGAAAACATGACATAGTAAAGACTATTACAACAGCTAATATATATCCTGAAATTAAAATAAAAACCAGATAGTTACTGATGTTTTTCAAGTGATTTTAAATAAATTTGTCTAAACTGGCTAAACAATAATTAAATTCCAACCAAAAGCTCCAAATTTCAAAAAAGTAAATAAAACTCTTAGTGGTCTTTTTTTTTTTTTTTTACAGTCTCGTTATGTTTCCCAGGCTAGAGTGCAGTGGCGTGATCTCAGCTCACTGCAACCTTCGCCTCCCAAGTTCAACCAATTCTCCTGCCTCAGCTTCCTGAGTAGCTGGGACTGCAGGTGCCCACCATCATGCCCAGCTGATTTTTGTATTTTTAGTATAGACAGGGTTTCACCATATTGGCCAGGCTGGTCTCGAACTCCTGACCTTGTGATCTACCACACCTGGCCTAACTCTTAATGTTTTTTACTCACTGTAAAAAGAGGCCATGAGCTAGATGCAGTGGCATATACCTATAGTCTCAGTTACTTGAGGCTGAGGCAGGTGGATCAGTTGAGCCCAGAAGATTGAATCCAGACTGAGAAACATAGTGAAAAAGTCCTATGTCTTCAGAAAAAAAAAAAAAAAAAAAACCAGAAAAGGCCAAGCCAGGCACAGGAGTGCATGCCTATAGTCCCAGCTACTGAGGTGGGAGGATCACCTGAGGCTGGGAGTTCGAGGATTTACCATGCTATGATAGAGTCTGTGAACAGTCATTGAACTCCAGCGCAACATAGTGAGACTCTGTTTCCTTTAAAAATGAAATGAAAAGAAAGGGCCAGGACCAGTGGCTCAAGCCTGTTATCCCAGCACTTTTTGGGAAGCCAAGGTAAGTGGATCACTCGAGCTCAGGTTCAAGACCAGCCTAGGCAACATGGCGAATCTCCGTCTCCACAAAAAAATGCAAAATATTACCTAGGCATGGTGGAGTATGCCTGTAGCTACTAGAGAGGCTGAGGTGGGAGGATTGCTAGAGCCTGGGAGGTCAAGGGTGCAGTGAGCCAAGACTGTGGCACTACAACTCCAGCCTGGGCGACAGAGTCAGACCTTGTCTCAAAAAAAAAAAAAGGAAAGAAAAGGAAAATAGAGAATTGTAACGTCATGAAATAAACAAAAGCACCTAATTCAGTTTTGTATGCTTTCTGTCAAGGTGGCCAAGAAACCAGGTCCTAAGATTCAAGGATACTTCCATGGGGAAAAAGTATGCTCTACCAATTTTAAGAAATTACAGTGATGTGTGAAGTTAACAGCTGTAGTTAACAGGCTTCCCTCATAGGCTGGAAGTATGGCACCACATTAAACACCTTATGAAACGAAACTTTTGAGATACGGTTTACCAACTTACCTATTCTTCACCACCTCCAAGATCATGGTTGAAACGTAAGCTCTATGAAGAACTAGATTTTGAAGAAATTTTGAGCCTTGGAGGAGCTGAAGATCCTTAAAGCTCTTAACAACCGAAGTCTTTAAAAAATCAAGCACCTTGGGTATAGTTGGAAAAAAAAAAGAAATAAGAAAATGAAGCAAATATTACAGCTCATGCTATAAACTTTAACTCTATAACTGTTTCTATAAGCTGCCATGCATATATATCCCCATGACAACTATTTTAGCTAGATGAAGATGTTACAAAAAGTATGATGGTTAGTGGGAACTTAAGGGAGTTGAAGATGAGCCTTCCTTAAGCAAAAGGGGGAAAAAAGGCTAAAAATCAACATAAGTATTACCCACAACCTGGAACACATATAAGAAAAAAAGGGTAGGTTTCATCCTTGCAACTAACCTATTCTTGATATGCAGCTCAACTTTCCCTTCCTCCAGCTGCGCCAGGTGATAGCCCTCCACTTCTATTCCCACCTCACCACCTCACTTATCACACAACAGGAAATGGAATAAATCAAAATCCTGGAGAAGTCTTCCACCAGTCCCCAGAGAACAGAGGACACACATGTCTTATAGCAGCTTTGCTGCTGGCAGGAAGGGGGCAAAATTGTTTAGGAAAGGATAACAACAAAAACAGATTTCTGTGCTTTTTAATTTTACCAACTACAGAAGGAAACAAAATGGCATTAAAAAAAGTACCTGTTCCTGAAATCTTTGTATTCTTGTTACAGAGAGAAGAAGAGCAATGCTGAAGGGACTTAAGTTATTGGAATCTCCTTGCTGTCCTGCCTAAAAGAGAGCAACCAAAAGGGAGTCATTACTTACATTTTCTTTTCCTTTTTCTTTTTTAAAGATAGGGTCTCACTCTGTTGCCCAGGCTGGTATGCAGTGATGCAATCACAGCTCACTGCTGCCTTGATTTCCGAGGCTCAAGGGATCCTCCTGGCTTGACCTCCCAAGTAGCTGGGACTACACCATGCCTGGCTAATTTTTAAATTTTTGGAGAGATGAAGTCTCACTATGCTGCCCAGGTGAGTCTTAAACTCCTGGCCTCAAGTGATCCTCCCACCTTGGTCTCCCAAAGTGCTGGGATTACAGGTGTGAACCACCACGCCTGGTCCCATTACTTACATCTTAAAAATATAACAGCTTATTTAACAGTAAGTTCCTTGGTGGGTGTCATGGCTCATGCCTGTAATCCCACCACTTTGGGAGACCGAAGTAGGTGTATCACTTGAGGTCAGGAGTTGAAGACCAGCCTGGACAACATGGTGAAACCTCATCTCTACTAAAAATATAAAAATTAGCTGTGAGTGGTGGTGGATGCCTGTAATCCTGGCAACTGGAGAGATTGAGGCAGAAGAATCACTTGAATCTGGGAGCAAAGGTTGCAGTGAGCTGAGATTGCACCAGTTCACCAAAAAAAAAAAAAAGTCCCTATGACTCAAGGGACATAAAAACAGATTTTTTAATAGTAATACAAAATAAAAGTAGGTCTTTAAATGGACCAGAAATCTAAATTTAAGAGCAAAAATTGTAATACTTTCAGAAAAATTTCAAGAACATGGATTAGGTAAAGATTTTTTAGCTGTAATGCCAAAAGAAAAGCATACTTTGTATAAGAAAAAATTGATAAACCGGACCTCACCAAAATTCAAAACTTTTCTGCTTCAAAAGATACCATTAAGAAAATAAAAAGACAAGTCAGACTAGGAAAAAATATTTGCTAATTTTATACCTGATAAAGAACGTGTCACCATTCATAACAAAGTTATTGAAAAAACAAAAAAGAATTTGTCAGTAAAATATACAAAGAATTTTAATTAAGAAGATAAACAATACACTCAAAAAATGGGCAAAAGATTTGAATAGACAGTTCACCAAAGATGGTATTAGAACAGTTAATGAGCACATGAAAAGATGCTCAATTATCATCAGTCATTAAGAAAATGCAAAGTTAAACCTCAATGAGGTACTGTTTTATACCCATTAGAATGGATATAATAAAAAAGACAGACAATAACAAATATTGGCCAGGAGACAGAAATAGGAGCCTCACATAGTAACGGTGGGAATGTAAAATGATATTGTTTTGGAAAACAGGCAGTTTCCTAAAAATATAAATTTCTCGGGCTGGATGGGGTCTTATGCCTGTAATTCCACCACTTTGGGAGGCTAACTCGGGTAGATCACCTGAGGTCAGGAGTTTAAGACAAACCTGGCCAATACGGTGAAACCCCGTCTCTACTAAAAATACAAGAATTAGCTGTGTGTGGTAGCGGGCACTTGTAACCCAGCTACTCAGGAGCCTGAGGCAGGAGAATCGCTTGAATCCAGGGGGCAGAGGCTGCAGAGAGCCAAGATCGTGCCACTGCAATCCAGCCTGGGCGACATGAGCAAAACTCTGTCTCAAAAAAAAAAAAAAAAAAAAATTCTCATATAGGCCAACAGTTCCACTCCTGGGTATATGTTCAAGAGAAATAAAACATTAAGCCGGACGCGGTGGCTCAAGCCTGTAATCCCAGCACTTTGGGAGGCCGAGGCGGGTGGATCACAAGGTCGAGAGATCGAGACCATCCTGGTCAACGTGGTGAAACCCCGTCTCTACTAAAAATACAAAAAATTAGCTGGGCATGGTGGCACGTGCCTGTAGTCCCAGCTACTCAGGAGGCTGAGGCAGGAGAATTGCTTGAACCCAGGAGGCGGAGGTTGCGGTGAGCTGAGATCATGCCATTGCACTCCAGCCTGGGTAACAAGAGTGACACTCTGTCTCAAAAAAAAAAAAAAAAAAAAAAGAAAACATTAAGTCCACACAAAGATTTGCATGTGAATGTTAGTGGTAGCATTACTCATAATAGCCAAACCGTAGAAAAAATTCACATGTCCACCAGCTGGTAGACTGCTAAACAAAACTGATATATATATCCACACAATGGAATACTATTCAACAATAAAAAGAAATAAACCTGATAAGGTAGCTCACACCTGTAATCACAGCCACTCAGGAGGCTGAGGCAGGAGGATCAGTTGAGGCCAGGAGTTTGAGAACAGCCTGGACAACACAGTGAGACCTCAGTCTCTTAAAAAAATTGTTTAAAAATGAGCCAGGCATGATGGTGTGTGCCTGTAGTCCTAGCTAGTCAGAAATCTAGAGTGGGAGATCACTTGAGGCCAGGAGTTTGAGGGTACAGTAAGCCATGATCATGATATTGCATTCCAGCCTAGGTGACAGAGACCATGTCTCCTATAGCAAACAAAACAAAAATAAACACAAATGAAATACTGATATATGCTACAAGACAGGCGAACCCTGAAAACATTACACTAAATGAAAGAAGACATACACAAAAGACCATATATCATATAATTCCATTTATATAAAATATCTGGGAAAGGTAAACCCATAGAGATACAAAGTAGATTAGTGGTTACCTGGAGGTGGGAGTGGTAATGCAGATTAAATGGGTGTAAAAGATCTCACAGGGTGATAAAAATGTTCCAAAATTAGATTATGGTGACAGCTGGAAACTAGGTAAATTTATGAAAAAAATCACTGCATTGCATACTTAGAATGGAAGAATTTTATGCTATGTAAATTGTGCCTCAAAAAGTTTAAAAAATACATCTTCAAGGCCTAGAAAAAAATGATACTAAAAAAGCCAAAAAACATGTAAAATCAAACATGAAACAAAGAGAAAACCAAAAACAAAGAACAGAGTGGCTCAAAATATATAAAGCTGGTGAAAAGGTAAATAATATAGTTACTATTAACCCGAATTAAAAAAAAAAAAAGTGAACAGATACAGAGAAGATAAAGAAGCTTTAAAGCCTACTCACAGATGATGGTGTTTAAATATCCTGTCTTACAAAAGGGACTCAAGGCTTTTAAGAGACATGGCTTGGCCGGGCGCGGTGGCTCAAGCCTGTAATCCCAGCACTTTGGGAGGCCGAGGCGGGTGGATCACGAGGTCAAGAGATCGAGACCATCCTGGTCAACACGGTGAAACCCCGTCTCTACTAAAAATACAAAAAATTAGCTGGGCATGGTGGTGTGTGCCTGTAATCCCAGCTACTCAGGAGGCTGAGGCAGGAGAATTGCTTGAACCCAGGAGGCGGAGGTTGCGGTGAGCCGAGATCGTGCCATTGCACTCCAGCCTGGGTAACAAGAGCGAAACTCCGTATCAAAAAAAAAAAAAAAAAAAAAAGAGAGACATGGCTGGCAACAGGATGGGGCAGGGAAAGTACTCTGGTGAGCCTTGGGCAGTTCATGTCACAGCTCACAGACTAATGGGGTCACATCAAAAGAACACATAGCTGACCCTGAAGGATCAAACTGGACAAATTGGGGTAATTTTGTGCTCAAAACAAATAATGACAGTAGTGAATAATGAGTACATTGAATTTAAAAAGGTTCATGAGTGCATAATGATATTCAAAACAACAGGGAAAGGAGTGGCTCTTTTTACAGAAGAATGCCAGCTAATAATGTAGAAAAAAAGATGCAATTAGAATTTTTTAATTAAAATTGGAATTCCTTGGGAACAGATTGTGAGGACAAAAAGAAAAAAAATGAAATATAAAATTCAAATTCCTGATATAATTACTGATTTAGGCCAAGAATCATCAACAGATGGGAAAACGAAATACCATTGGGAAAAGGATTTTTTTTTTTTTTATACAGAGTCTTCCTCTGTTGCCAGGCTGGAGTGCAGTGGCGCAATCTCAGCTCACTGCAACCTCCACCTCCTGGGTTCAAGTGATTCTTCCACCTCAGCCTCCCGAGTAGCTGGGACCACAGGCATGTGCCACCACACCCGGCTAATTTTTTTTGTATTTTTGGTAGAGATGGTGTTTCACCGTGTTGGCCAGGATGGTCTCCATCTCTTGACCTCGTGATCCGCCTACCTCGGCCTCCCAAAGTGCTGAGATTATAGGCGTAAGCTACCATGCCTGGCCGGGAAAAGGATTTTTAATACCATCTCTAACTATGATCCTATAGAATCCTTTCTAATACAAAGGGATATATATATATCCCTTTGTATTAGAAAGGATTCTATAGGATCATATATATATATATATATATATATATATATATATATATACACACACATATATATATACTTACGGATGACGAAAGCCGATGGTCATTTTCTTAAAAGCGAATGATTTAGCATCACAAATAGTAAGGTAGCTAATACTATGTTCATTCTGATGTAATGCACAGAACTGTGGCTGGCAAACTATATACAGCCTGTTGGTCAAATCCAACCCATTACCTGTTTTTATACAACCCGTTAGCTAAGACTGGTTTTTATGGTTTTAATGATGGGGGGGGGGGAATCAAAGGAAGGTGGGTTCAGTGGCTCACAACTGTAATCTCAGCACTTTGGGAGGCCAAGGCAGGCAGATCACTTGAGGCCAGGAGTGACCAGCCTGGCCAACATGGCAAAACCCTGCCTCTACTAAAAATACAAAAATTAGTCATGTGATTGTAGTCCCAGCTATAAGGAAGGCTGAGGCATGAGAATCACTTGAACCCAGGAGGTAGAAGTTGAAGCCACAAGATTGGGCCATGGCACTCTAGCTTGGGTGACAGAGTAAGACTCTGTCCAAAAAAAAAAAAAAGGAAGAATAATATTCCAGAAAATAAAAATAGAATAAAATTCAAATCTCAGTGTCCACAAATAATGGGAAAACAGCCACATTCATTAATACATTTTGTCTATGGCTGCCTTCTTGCTGCAGTGGGAGAGCTGAGTAGTTGCGATAGAACCTGTGTGTCCTGCAAAGTGTATTAATATCTGGCCCTTGCAAGAAAATGTAAACAACATCATTTACGAAGTATTCTTGCCAAAAATGTTTAACTTGAACCCAATAGTGAGGAAATTATCAGATAAATCCCAAAATACGGGACATTGCACAAGACAAGTCGGCTGATGCTTCAAAAAAATCAGTCCAAAACTAGAAAGAACGAACCAAATGCAATGCATGAAGCCTGATGAGAGCCTGGAGCAGGGGGGAAAAAAACACAGCTGTAAAAGACATTTTAGAGACAACTGTGAAAATGTGAATAGGGAATATAAATTAAATAATATTATGGAACTATTGTTAATTTTCCTAGGTGTGATGACAGTATAATAATAATATGTCCTTATTCTTAGCATGCTGAAATATCCAGGCATTGAAGTGTTAGGGTTTACTATATCTTACTGTTAAATGTTCACAAAAAACATAACGCATGTATGAGGAAAATAGAGAGATAAGGTAAATGTGGCAAAGTGTCTAATAATTGGTGAATCCAGGTGAAGAGAGCATAGGTGTTCTTCATGCTATATAGTGTTTTATCTCTTCTTAGTTAGAATTTCCAAACTAAAAAGTTGGAGGAACAAATGTATCTGTACACTACTTTTCTTTAATATAGTTCAAAACACTTCTGAGTTTTATTTTACTACTTTACAAATATTTCATGATGAATGACTTAGCATCACACAACTCCACATATACGAACAGAAGTAAGCAACATCCTAATTCATAAATGGGAAAGCAGAGGTCATTGGTGAAGGTCACATAAGACAGTGACACATCATCTACTTAGGATTAGATTTTGAGTTTCCTGCTGAGTAGTTTCAGTTTTGTTTTGTTTTGTTTTGCATTAGAACATTTAAGGGTTTTTTAAATGGAACTTTCTGGTTTGCTTAAGAAACCAGAAAGTTTCTTAACTTAAAAAAAAAAAGGAGTGTGGTAACATCATGTATTTTCCACTTTTAAAGTAAAAAAAGAGATCCTCTACACCCAGGATCATTTTACAGTATTTGTTTCCTGTCATTAACTGGCATAAAAGCGACTTAAGTTCAAACATTTTCATTCAAAAGAGACTCAGATCACCTTACAAGTTTGTTGCTACCTTTAAGTGTTTCAAGAGTTCTCTGCCTAGTTCATAGTCCAATTTGATGGCAAACACAATGTGTAGAATAACGGTGCCTTCCACATGACGAAGTTCACCTGATGGCACAGTAACAACATCCAAGAGCCTAAAAGATTCAACGGAAAGGTATGAGCTTTAAGGTGCAGTGCCTCACACCTATAATCCCAGCACTTTGGGAGGCCGAGGCGGGCGGATCACTTGATCCCAGGAGTTCAAGACTAGCCTCTACTAAAAATACAAAAAAGTCAGCCCAGTGTGGTGGCAAACCTGTAGTCCTAGATACTTGGGAGGCTGAGGTGGGAGGACTACTTCAGGCCGAAGGTGGAGGCTGCAGTGAGCCAAGACTGCACCACTGCACTCCAGCCTAGGCGACAGAGTGAGACCCTGTCTCAACAACAACAACAACAAAAGGTATGAGCTATAGTTTTTGAGTGAGAGACAAGTGACAGGATGAATAAGTAGACCAACTCAATCTAAACTCTATAATCACTGCAGGCAGGTGTTAACTAGAAATTCTACTGCCCCATTCTCTGCTCCTGTCTGTCTGTCTGTCTGTCTGTCTGTCTATCTGAGACAGGGTCTCACTCTCTCACCCAGGCTGGAGTGCAATGGCATGATCATGGTTCACAGCAGCCTCAACCTCCCAGGCTCAAATGATCCTCCCACCTCAGCCTCCTCAGTAGCTGGGACTATAGGCATGAGCCATCATGCCCAGCTAATTTTTCTATTTTTTGGTAAAGATGGAGTCTCACTATATAGCCCAGCTGGTCTCAAACTCCTGGCCTCAAGTGATTCTCCTGCTTCAGCCTCCCAAAATGTTGGTATTAAAGGCAGGATTCAGTATGCCCAGACTCTGCTCCTTTTTACAACAAGATTTCATAAAAGAAATGCCTACAGTCATCATTTCTCTTTTTCTGTTTCACAATCTCTTCCCGGTATAATCCAGTTCAATCAGGCTTCTATCCTCTTTCTACCCTCACGCCGACAGTAACATCTGATTATTCCTGCAAGGGTCACAAATGACCTCCAAGTTGCCAAAAACCAATAAAGTCCCACCTTAATCAACATCTCAGATTTAACACAATTAACCACTTCTTTTTTTTTTTTTTTTTGAGACGGAGTTTCGCTCTTGTTACCTAGGCTGGGGTGCAATGGCACGATCTCGGCTCACCACAACCTCCGCCTCCTGGGTTCAAGCAATTCTCCTGCCTCAGCCTCCCGAGTAGCTGGGACTACAGGCGTGTGCCACCATGCCCAGCTAATTTTTGTATTTTTAGTAGAGACGGGGTTTCACCATGTTGACCAGGATGGTCTCGATCTCTTGACCTCGTGATCCACCCGTCTCGGCCTCCCAAAGTGCTGGGATTATAGGCGTGAGCCACTGCGCCCGGCCGACTTCTTTCTTAAAACATTTTCTTCTCTCAGCTTCCAGGGCATCATCACTGGCCTCTTCTCAATTTTTTTTTTTTTTTTTTTTTTTTTTAAGACAGGGTTTCACTCCCATTGCCAAGGCTGGAGTGCAATGGTGCAATCTCAGCTCACTGCAACCTCTGCCTCCTGAACTCAAGTGATTCTCCTGCCTCAGCCTTCCGAGTATGTGGGACTATAGCTGTGTGCCACTGCTCCTGGCTATTTTTATATCTTTTTGTAGAGACGGGGTTTTACCATGTTGCCCAGGCTGATCTTGAACTACTGAGCTCAAGCAATCTGCCCACCTGAGCCTCCCAAAGTACTTGACCTTTAAATGGTAGAACGCCTCTGAGCTCAGTCTTAGGTTTCTTTTTCTTCATGCTTTCCCTCAATAATCCCATCCAGTCTCTTGGCTTTAGTCCCTTCCAGTCTTATCCCCAGTTAAGACTTCTCCCTACAACTCCAGAGTACCTGCTTAATATCTTCTTATGAGACCCTAATACATATCTCAAACCCAATGTGGTCAAAAGTGAGCTCATTTTAAAAAGTGAGCTAATTATATTCTCCAAAATCTGATTCTCTGTCAGCTTATTCTAATTTAGGATCTAAGACCACCTTCTATGCTGAATGTGGCAGCTCGCTCCTGTAATTCCGGCACTTTGGGAGGCTGAGGCAGGATTGCCTGAAGCTAGGAGCTCAAGAGCAGCCTGGGCAACAAAGTGAGACCCTGTCTCTAGAAAAAAAAAGTTAAATTAGTCAGACTTGGGCTAGGTGGAATGGCTCACAACTGTAATACCAGCACTTGGGAGGCCTAGGGGGCAGATCATTTGAGGTCAGGAGTTCACGACCAGCCTGGCCAACATGGTGAAACCCCACCTCTACTACAAATACAAAAATTAGCCGTGCATGGTGGCACGCACCTGTAATCCCAACTACTAGGAAGGCTGAGGCCGGAGGATCACTTGAACCTGGGAGGCAGTTTGCAGTGACCTGAGATCATGCCACTGCACTCTAGCCTGGGCAACAAAGTGAGACTTCATCTCAAATTAAAAAAAGAAAAATTAGGCAGGCATGGTGGTGGGTGCCTGTAATCCCAGCTCTTTGGGAGGCTGATGCAGGAGAAGAACTTGATCTTGGGAGGCAGAGGTTGCAGTGAGCTAAAATTGCACCACTGTACTCCAGCCTGGGCAAGAGAGAGACTTCATCTCAAAAACAAAATTAGCCAGGCTTGGTGTCATGTGCCTAGAGTCCCAGCTACTTGGGAAGCTGAGGCTGCAGGATCACTTGAGCCCAGGAATTGGAGGCTGCAGTGAGCTATGATGGTGCCCACCTCTAATCAACTGCTCAAGCCAAACTAAATTCTCTGTTTCTTGATGTCCATACCCATAAAATAAAGGCAAAATAAGGTTGTAAGGTTTGAAGTGCTTAGAACAGCACCTCGCACAAAATGAACTCTCAACAAATGTTTGCTTAAAAAACAAAAACCCAGCTGGGCATGGTGATTCATGCCTGTAACCCCAGCACTTTGGGAGACCGAGGCGGGCGGATCACAAGATCAGGAGATCAAGACCATCCTGGCCAACATGGTGAAACCCCGTCTCTACTAACAAAATACCTAAAGAATTAGCTGGGCGTGATGGCGTACTCCTGTAGTCCCAGCTACTCAGGAGGCTGAGGCAGGAGAACTGCTTGAACCTAGGAGGCAGAGACTGCAGTGAGCCAAGATCATACCACCACACTACTGTTTGGGCGGCAGTGCGAGACTCTGTCTCTAAAAAAATAAATAAATAAATTAGCCGGGCGTGGTGGCACATTCCTGCAATCCCAGGTACTCAGGCAGCTGAGGCAGGAGAATTGCTTGAACCGAGGAGGTGGAGATTGTAGTAAGCTGAGATCATACCACTGCACTCCTGCCTGGGCAACAGAGAGACTCATCTCAAAGAAAAAGAAAAGAAAAAAAAGAAATCCTTGGCCAGGCACAGGGATCTGTAATCCCAGCACTTTGAGAGACCAAGGTGGGTGGATCACTTGAGGCCGGAGTTTGAGACCAGACTGGCCAACATGCAAACCCCGTCTTTACTACTAAAATTACAAAAATTAGCTGGGTGTATTGGTGTGCACCTGTAGTACCAGCTACTCAGGAGGCTGAGGCAGGACAATCACTGAAACCTGGGAGCTGGAGGATGCAGTGAGCCAAGATCACGCCACTGCATTCCAACCTGGGTGACGGAGCGATACTCTGTCTCAAAAACGAAAACCCCCAAATCATCTTTCTCAGACATGCCACACTTCTGCCTTTGTACTGTTTCCCTACCTATGTTCTCTAATCTATGTATTATAGATCTTATCATTCAGGTTTCAGTTAAAATAGCACATCTGAGAGAGGTTTTCCCTGACCCAATCTAAAGTAGCTGTACTGTCACTGTTAGATCATCCATTACCTGCATAGCACTTTTCACTATAATGTTTCTTGTTACTTATTTTCTGTTCTCTTCTCACTAAAATTCAAGCTCTATAAGAGCAGGGACACTGACTGGTTTAGCACCATAGTGCCAAGACTAAATAGTTCCTGGCAGAGAGTTGACACTTAATAAACAGGTTTTAAACTTGCAGCTTATAGGACAATTATTGCTATTTTCCTGGAAAGATGAAAATGAAAGAGCTGAGGAGGTCATGTTATTTTCTTTACTACTGAGCAGCCAGGAGAAGATTAGAAAAGTTTTGCGCTGAGATGAAGGTGGGGGGGAAAGAGAAGAAAATGAAGTAGCTAAAATGCACAATGAGAAGATGAATCTGTAAAAATGATCTTTATTTCGACACTGTATTACTCACTCATCACCACTCTGATCCTCATTGTGCTGCTTATCTACTGCATTGAAGAAGGCTATGATTCCTTCCAAAACACTTTTTCTGCTTCCCTGAAAACAATACAAAATTGGTAAGGTCTCCCAATTAAAAGCAAAATAACCAAGTTGAATTCAAAGTAGTTTTCGGCTTAAAGAATTCTCCAGTACAAATTTAAATAAATAATCTATGACCTAGAGTCAAACTAAGAATGTGTAGAACACTTTCACGTTGAAACAAGATTTGAAATACCTCTTACTGTAAGAATTTATGAGGCCGATAGTCTAACCTTTCTGAAGTATTTATCCCTTTTACCACCACAAAAAAAATGGGGTGCAATACAAGAGACAATGTATGTTTTCCTTGGATGAAAATCACGATCTTTTTACCACTATCCATGAAATGAAAGCATCTACATTCTGCTACGTTTGTTCTGCTATGTAGGCAAGGGTTTGAGTAAGTTGAATGGTCTTAACTGGTCATACCATCAGAACTAAGGAGAAACAATTTTCCGTTTGTACCTTTGAGGAGAGAACCAGAAGCTGATAGACCAAAGGTGGTATTTCTTGAAGATTCATCTTGGAAAACATGCTCAATGCTTTTTCCACCACAAATTCCACCTCTTCTGCACTCAGAGGGACATCCCTGTAGATCAAAGATTCTAAAGGCTATAGACAAGAGTCAAACTGCCTTGCTTTCAGAAATTCAATTCAGGGCTTTACAGTGGTTAAAATTCCATTAAACATATTTTAAGAAACAAAACTTGAGAGCAGAGAAACAGGTAATAGATTATTATAACTGTCCCTTTTGATTTTTCTCTAGTGAAGAACCTTTAAGGGAACAAATAACCTTACCTAAGCAAAGTCATCTCAGAAAAAAAACATAAAGTTACATGTCAAATAAATAAGTAAAGCCAAAAAGGAGGCAGGAGTGGGGAGGGAATCTGAAACAGAAAACATAAATAGTAATATTGTTGCAAGCAGGAGAGCATGATGTTTAGTTTGCTATGGTTTAATTTCTAGCAAGTAAGTTCACAAAGCAGGAAATACAAAAAAAAGGGGAAATATGATGCTTACTTGAACATGGAGGTGAGGTGGATTACGTGCTGCTGATCCCACCTGATTGAAGAAAATGACAAAGCTGATTTAATTTCAACTTATTTGGTTATAACTTTGTAAAATTAATCAGGACAAAAAAAAAAACAGGGTGATTTCAAGTTTACTTTTGTAATACTGAGAAACAAGATCAAAGAAATACCATTTAAAACAATGAAACAGCAGATGTTAGCCTATCCAACTCATGAAATCAAAATTCTGGTAATACCCAATGTTGGTGAGATTGTGGAAAACAAACACTCTTCACGTACTGTTTTAGGGAATGTATGACAAGCTGGGAGTACTTACCAACTTTAAAAAATGCACATCATCACAGATTTACCCAATTTCCTATTTGAAATATATGCCATATAAATGCTTGTAAAAGGTCATCTAGATATATAAATATGTTCTGGCCAGGTACAGTGGCTCATGCCTATATTCCCAATACTGTGGGAGGCCAAGGTAGGAAGATCACTTAAAGTCAGGAGTTCAAGACCAGCCTGGGCAATAAAGCAAGATTCCCAACTCTACTTAAATTAAAAAAAGACATTCATTGAAACACTCTTTGTAATAGCAAAAAACTACAAACAAACAGATAATCCAATAATTGTAGATTAGCCAAATAACAGATTACTACAAACCACTAAAAAGAATGATGTAGAGTTGTATATGCTGACATGGACAGTTGTATTAAATAAAAAATGCAAGGTATATTACAACATGTATTGAATAAAGTCGTATAATTAAAAACAAATAAATTGATAAATACATGCTTAAAATGATTTACGTAAGGGATCTTACGTAAGGAACCATAAATGCAATGATCTCTAGTTTAGATAATCCTGGGTATTTCCTTTGGTTTTTTTTAACAAACCCACATACAATCACAGTATTATATAACATAGTAATCTCTTTATTTTTTAGTTATATGAATTTATATAATGTATTATATAACGTAGTAATCATACAATCACTGTATTATATAACATAGTAATCTCTTTATTTTTTAGTTATATGAATTTATAAAGATGAAAAGAATTTTTCATCTATAATGTATACATTTCCCGTTTTTTTTTTTTTTTTTTGAGACAGAGTCCTGCTCTGTTGCCCAGGCTGGAGTGTAACAGCTGGAGTGCAATGGCACGATCTCTGCTCACCTCAACCTCCGCCTCCTGGGTTCAAGCAATTCTCCTGCCTCAGCTTCCAGAATAGCTGAGATTACAGGCGCATACCACCATATCCAGCTAATTTTTTGTATTTTTAGTAGAGATAAGGTTTCACCATGTTGGCCAGGTCTCAAACTCCTGACCTCATGATCCACCTGCCTCGGCCTCCCAAAGTGCTGGGATTACAGGTGTGAACCACTGTGCCCGGCCTACATTTCACTTTTTTTTTGAGACGGAATTTCACTCTTGTTACCCGGGCTGGAGTGCAATGGCGCGATATCAGCTCACTGCAACCTCCGCCTCCTGGGTTCAAGCAATTCTCCTGCCTCAGCCTCCCGAGTAGCGGGGACTACAGGCGTGCGCCACCATGCCCCACTGATTTTTTGTATTTTTAGCAGAGACAGGGTTTCACCATGTTGACCAGGATAGTCTCAATCTCTTGACCTCGTGATCCACCCGCCTCAGCCTCCCAAAGTGCTGGGATTATAGGCATGAGCCACTGCACCAGGCCTACATTTTACTTTTAATAGGTATAAACGTCATGGAGTGGCTCTACCTCAACCTACATAGTTTACATGTGTCTATTACTGTGTGCTTATATTGGTCACAAGTTTCTGTGTTGAACATGTTCATATGTGAGGATTTTCTTGTATGTGAAGTCATTCTTTATTGTAGATTCCCAGAAATACAATTACTGGTTAAAGGATGTATCACTTGTATATTCTACTTCCTCAAAAAAACAAACAAAAAAAAGAATAGAAAAGATGCAGTAGCAAGTTGACTTCCCCAGCCTTCATGACCTTAAGACTCCAATAATGCTTAGACTGGAGCATTAAACACACTAAATTAACACGCTAAATTGCTGTACTAAGATACACAGTCAAGTAAATAAAACTATATGAACAGAATTAGAGGACAGAATAAAGTCATCTCTTTCTCAGTAATTCACTGCAGACTAAATAGTTTGATAGTGTCATATTAAAAAATAATAATAAAGGACTTAAAACCTTCACAGACATAAATTCCTGAAATAAAGTGTTTTTTTGGGCCACTTGTATTCCTAAGAAAGTTCTACATATTAGTGAGACTCACCTGCCAGAACACAAGGTGTTAATCAACTGCTTCTTATATTCTTCCCCACTCAGTACACCTAGAAATGCAAAATAGACTGAGCAATAAATTTGATTACATAAATAGAGAAAAAGCCACTAAAATTGGAAGAAAATTACCTTTTCCATAAGCCAGTTTTTCCTTTTTGGTTGCGAGGGCAGTGAGAATGATAGGCAGTAACTCCAAAGATTTTCCATTCACTAGGCTGCTGTCTCTGACAGCACTAATAAACTCATTGGCTAATTCAACCAATAACGGTGCTGGAAAATGGTGAGCCTAGAAGTTCATGGGAGAAAGGAAACCTCAAGCAGAAATCCAATGTTTGATATCTCTTTCTAAGAAATAAAGTCTTTTGCTGAAATACACAAATTGACTAAGATCCACCAGAACTGGTCCTGTAAGGGATTTATGGAATCATTTTGTTCTGTCTGGTACATACGTAGCTGTAATTGTGAAGAGCTTCAAAGATTTGAGTCCTCTGTCGGTTCCCTAACATTTTTAGACATGCCAACTCTTCAAAGATATATATGTCCATGGTACCAGAAATGTAATATATACATCTAGGTTGATTATAACCCATTCATCTGCCTTTTTTTGAGACAGGGTCTCACTCTGCTTCCCAGGCTGGAGTGCAGTGGCACAATCTCGGCTCACTGCAACCTCCGCTACCTTGGCTCAGGCAATCCTCCTGCCTCAGCCTCCCAAATAGCTGTGACCACAGACATGCATCACCAACCTGGCTAATTTGTTTCTTCCGTATTTTTGGTAGATGTGGTTTCCATGTTGCTCGGGCTGATCTCAAACTCCTGAGCACAAGTGATCCACCCACCTCCGCCTCAAAAAGTGCTAGGATTACAGGTGTGAGCCACCGTGCCCGGCCTACTTTTTTTTTTTTTTTTTTTTTAGCAACAGCTCTTACTCATAAATAGGAACTATGCTAGGTTGGGCACGTAAGTTTTCCTTCCCTCAACAAATTACAAACCCCCAAAAATCTACCTCCAAATACAAGTTTTAGTTTGCCCTCTTACCTCCAGCATCAGTAATCCTATGATCTCAGATGCTGTTTCTTTCTGCAAGTCTCCTGATTCCACCAACTGGATACAGTAAGTGTATATCTTATGTCTCCTAAGTGTTCCAGCTTCCTCAGAGCAGGGTGAACCTGATTATTTTAAACAAGGGAAGAAGTCTTACAAGATTGACAGGTAAATAAGAAAACGTAAATGGAGGCCGGGTGCGGTGGCTCAAGCCTGTAATCCCAGCACTCTGGGAGGCTGAGGCGGGTGGATCACGAGGTCAAGAGATCGAGACCATCCTGGTCAACATGGTGAAACCCCGTCTCTACTAAAGATACAAAAAAATTAGCTGGGCATGGTGGCACGTGCCTGTAATCCCAGCTACTCAGGAGGCTGAGGCAGGAGAATTGCTTGAACCCAGGAGGCGGAGGTTGCGGTGAGCTGAGATCGCGCCATTGCACTCCAGCCTGGGTAAAAAGAGTGAAACTCCGTCTCAAAAAAAAAAAAAAGAAAGAAAAGAAAATGTAAATGGATTAGACACTCTAATCTAAAAGCAAAGATTGGCAGAATTTTTTTTTTTTCCAGACGGAGTCTTGCTCTGTCACCCAGTTTGGAGTGCAGTGGCACAATCTCAGTTCACTCTAACCTCTAGTTCCTGGGTTCAAGAGATTCTCCTGCCTCAGCCTCCTGAGTAGCTAGGATTGCAGGCACCCACCACCATATCCAGCTAATTAATTCTTGCATTTTTAGTAGAGATGGGGTTCACCATGTTAGCCAGGCTGGTCTCGAACTCCTGACCTCAGGTGATTTGCCGCCCCAGCTTCCCAAGGTGTGGAATTACAGGTGTGAGCCACCACATCCTGCCAGAATTTTTTTTAAATCCTACTACATGTTGTTGAAGGACCACAGGAAATCTCACCCCAAAATATGGCTCCCTAATAAAAGTATTTTGAATTAAAAATCCTTAGAGTTCAACGAGCCCTGGAAGAGACATTCCCCTCTCTATATAAAGACAGGACTGGCCGGGCGCGGTGGCTCAAGCCTGTAATCCCAGCACTTTGGGAGGCTGAGGCGGGTGGATCACGAGGTCGAGAGATCAAGACCATCCTGGTCAACATGGTGAAACCCCGTCTCTACTAAAAATACAAAAAACTAGCTGGACGTGGTGGCGCGTGCCTGTAATCCCAGCTACTCAGGAGGCTGAGGCAGGAGAATTGCCTGAACCCAGGAGGTTGCGGTGAGCCGAGATCGCGCCATTGCACTCCAGCCTGGGTAACAAGAGCGAAACTCCGTCTCAAAAAAAAAAAATAAATAAAGACAGGACTGACCCACCAAGGAGAACAAGTATTCTTGCTTTCCTCCCTGTCATCTCATTAGCCATTATTGGAAAGAAAAATGTACCACATATTAACAGACACTTTTCCAAGATAATGACTATCCCCAAGGATCATTTAAATTCCAAAGAGAACTATTTACATGTTAATTTGTGTCCTGATCCAGTCAATCTTCCTAGTCACCACTTACTGCTCCTCAACAGAATTCCTCTTCTCCCTCTCCTATAACCTATTTTGCCAGGATACAAGTCCCCATTCTTTTTATAACTTTAAGATGGTATACAAGCTTCTGGACCCCATTGAGATACTGGGCAGTCACACTGCAATTCTCCCCATGCACACAGTTAAATAAATTTGTATGCCATTTCTCTTACTAACCTGCCTTACTGTGAGTTGATTTTTCAGTGCATCTCTGGGGTGCCAAGGGCCTTGCCCACCACACTGTCTACCAGAGACACAATTTAAATTCAAAGACACAAATAAGTGAAAGTTAAAAGGATGGAAAAAGATAACGCCATGTAAACAGTAACCAAAGAATGCCTGAATGGCTATACTAGTATCAGAAAAAGCAGGCTGTGAACACCAAGAGTTCAAGACCAGCCTGAGCAACATATTGAGACCCCCAACTCTACAAAAATAAAAAAATTAGCCAGACATGGTGGTGCATGCCTTAACTCCTAGCTACCTGGGGGGCTGAAGTGGGAGGACTGCTTGAGCCCCCGAGTTCAAGGTTACAGTGAGCAGACTGCACCACTGCACTCCGGTCTGGGTGATAGAACAAGACTCTTGTCTTAAAAAAAAAAAAAGAAAAAAAAAAAGACTAAAATTGTCACTGAGACAAAGGAAGGATATTTTACAATGATAAGAAGATTAATCCTTCATTAGGACTTAATAATTATAAACATGTAGGCACTCAAAAGAGCTCCAAAATACACTAAACAAACACTAACAGAACTGAAGGAAAAAACAGACAATTTAACAATAATCATTAGAAACTTCCATGTCCCACTTTTAATAATGAATACAACAACAGACAGAAGATCAACAACTTCCATTGTTGTTCTGGAAAACTTGAACATCACTAGACCTAAAAGACATCTATAGAACACTCCATCCAACAACAGCAGAATACTCGAGTGCACATGGACCGTTCTCCAGGATAGACCACATATTAGGCTTTAAAACAATTCTGGATAAATTTAAAAGGACTGTAATCATACCATATATATTCTATTACTGCAGTGAAATGAAAGTAGAAACCAGTAACAAAAGGAAATCTGGGAGATTCATAAATGTGGAAATTAAGACAATCTTAACTAACCAATGGATCAAATAACTACAGGGAAATTAGAAAACACCTTGAGATGACCAAAAGCAAAAAACACAGCATGCCAAATGTTACCAGATGCAGCTAACGCAGTGCATAAAAAAAAATTTATTTTTATAAATGCCTTATATTAAAAAAGGAGAATTAAAGCAACAACTGTAAGGTCTTTTAGGCCAACTGATCGCACCATGAACAGCATAGTAATCTCTGTGACCTGCATATATACCCCAGATGAGTTTCTGGAAGAAAATTAACCCCTGTAACACCTAACTAACTTGGGACATTCTTCTATTGTTTCTTATTCCGGCCTCAATAGACAAGGCCATGGGACTTTGTAACCGACCTTGCTCAACCTCATGATTCCAGACCCTATGACCCCCCTAGGCTTGCAAAAAACTGCCCTGAACTGTAACTTACACTGCTTACTCCAAACCTGTAAAACCAACTCCTAACCCACCACCCTCCGCTGACTCTCTTTTTGGACTCAGCCCACCCACACGCAGGTGAATAAACAGCCATGTGCTCAGACAAAGCCAGTTTGGGGGGGGTCTCTTCATTCAGAGTACGTGTTTTAACAATGACCTAATCTACCATAAGAACCTATAAAACAACAATTAAACTAAACCCAAAGCTAGTAGAAGGAATATAAAGGTTAGAGTGGACCTACGTAAAACAGAGACTAACAACAGAGAAAAGCAAGGAAACCAAGAGTTGGTTCTTTAAAAAGATGAACAAAATTGAAAAATCTCGGCCAGGCGCAGTGGCTCCTGAGGTTAGGAGTATGAGACCAGCCCAAACAAAATGGTGAGAAACTCCATCTCTACTAAAAAATACAAAAATTAGCCAGGAGTGGTGGCACACACCTGTAACCTCAGCTACTCAGGAGGTTAAGGCAGGAGAATGCTTGAACCCTGGAGGCTGAGGTTGCAGTGAGCCAAGATTGCGCCATTGTACTCCAGGCTGGGCGACAAGAGCAAGACTCCGTCTCAAAAAAAAAAAAAAAAAGGAAAAAGAAAAATCTTTAGCTAGGCTGACAAAGAAAAGGAAAATGACTTAAATTACTAATAACATGAATGAAAGAGGGAAATTGCTACTAAGAGAAATAAAAAGGATTATAAAGAAATACAAAAAACAATTATAGAACAATAAATTAGATAATCTATATGAAATAGACATTTTTTTTTTTTTATTTTTAAGACAGAGTCTTGCTCTGTTGCCTAGACTAGAGGGCAGAGGAAAATTCTCGGCTCACTGCAACCTCTGCCTCTTGGGTTCAAGTGATTCTCATGGCTTAGCCTCCAGAGTAGCTGGAACTACAGGCATGCACCACCACACCTGGCTAATTTTTTGTATTTCTGGTAGAGACAGGGTTTCGCCATGTTGGCCAGGCTGGTCTCAAACTCCTGACCTCAAGTGATCCGTCTGCCTCAGCCTCCCAAAGTTCTGAGCTTACAGGTGAACTCCTGGCCTCAAGTGAGCCACCATGCCTGGCCTGAAACAGACAAATTTCTAAAATGACACAAATTATCAAAATCAACTCAAGAAGAAACAAAATTTCAACAGACCAGATAGAGATTGAATTAGTAATCAAAACAATTCACACAAAGGAAAACTCAGATGGCCTCAAGGGTGAATTCACTAAGCGTTTAAAAAAGAATTAACACCAATTCTTCACATTCTTCCAAAAAAACAGAAGATAAGGGAATACTTCCTAACTCATCTTATGAGGCCAATATTATCCTCAAACCAAAAGTAGACAAAGACATGAGAAAACTACAGATCATTAGCCCTTGTGAATACAAATGCAAAAAGCCTCAGCAAAATACTAGAATCCAGCATTTAAAAACGATTATACACCATGCAAAAAAGCAAAACTGAATCCAGCAACATTTTAAAAAGATTATATACCACAACTAAGCAGGATCAGTTTAATGTATGAAAATCAATAAAATACACCATATAAATGGAATAACAAATAAAGGATAAAGAATAAGTAAATAAATAGCATCAAAAATACACCACATGATCATCTCGGTAGATGCAGAAAAAGCACCTGAGGCTCCTGGTGCTTACCACTGGCTGTGTTCTTACACTGACTGCCTAGAAAGAGGAGACAGAGTAAACCTACCTCATACACACCTCCACCCAGGCCCTGTGCCTGCTCTGTATTGTGAATGAAGGGGGACACAAAGATGATGGGGCGGGGGGAAGCCTTTCAAAAACCCAATACTCTTTCATGATAAAACACTGAACAAACGAGGAATCAAAGGGAAGTTCCTCAACCTGACAAAGGGCACCTAGGAAAAATTACTGCTACCCAGGCACGGTGGCTCACGCCTGTAATCCCAGCAGTCTGGGAGACTGAGGTGGGCAGATCATCTGAGGTCAGGAGTCTGAGACCAGCCCGACCAATATGGAGAAACCCCATCTCTACTAAAAACACAAAAAAATTGGCCAGGCATAGTACTGCATGCCTGTAATCCCAGCTACTCAGGAGGCTGATGCAGGAGAATTGCTTGAACCTGGGAGGTGGAGGTTGCAGTGAGCCGAGATCCTACCATTGCACTCCAGCCTGGGCAACAAGAGCGAAACTCCATCCCCCACCAAGAAAAAAAAAGAAGAAAGAAAAACTACAGCTAACATCATACTCAATGGGAAGCTCTCTTCTAAGATCAGGAACAAGACAAGGGTGTCTACTTTCACCCCTTCCATTTGTACTGCTGGTTCCAATCAGGATAAATACGTAAAAATAAAAATAAAAGTTATCTAAACTGGAAAAGAAGTAAAACTATTCTCTCTTCACGGATGACATTATCTTGTATATAGAAAACCCTAAGGAATCCACAAAAATGAAACAATTAGAGCTACTAAGTACAGAAGGTTGCAGGATATGAGTTCCATATACAATAATTACAGTTCTTTGTGCTACCAATGAACTATTACAAGACTGAATTAAGAAAACAATTTTGTTTCAATAGCATTAAAAGGAATAAAGTACTTAGGAATACACTTAATAAAAGAAGCACAAGACCTGTACTCTGAAAAGCATAAAGTACTGTAAAACAAAATTAAACAGGATCTAAATAAATGGAAAGACATTACATGTTCATGGAATGTAAGACTTATCTTAAGATAGCAACACTTCCCAAATTCATATATAGATTCAACACTATCCCTACCAAAACCCCAGCCTCCTTTTTGCAGAAATCAACAAGCTTATTTTAAAATTTATAAGGAAATACAAAAGACCTACAACAGCCAAAACAATCCCAAAAGATAAAAACAAGTTTGAAGAATTCACACTTCCTGACTGCAAAACTGAATACAAAGCTATAGTAATCAAGACTGTGTGGCACTGAAATAAGGAGAGACGTACAGATCAAAGGAACAATACCAAAAGCCCAGATATAAACCTTCTCATTTATCTGCAATTGGTTTTTGATAAGGGTGCCAAATGGGGAAGGAATGAAGTTGGACCCCTACCTCATACCAAGTATAAAAACTAATTGAAAATGGATCAAATGAACTATATGTATGAGGTAAATCTATAAAATTTTTACTTTTGCTTTTTTTTTTTTTGAGACAGTGTCTCACTCTGTTGCTACAGCCTCAAGCTTCCTGGCTCAAGCGATCCTTCCGCTTCAGCATTCTGAGTAGCTAGGGCCACAAGCCCGTGCCACAATGCCCAGCTAATTTTTTAAATTTTTTGTAGAGATGGGGCCTGTTGCCCAGGCTGCTCTCAAACTCCACCTAGGCTCAAGCAATCCCCCCACCTCAGCCTCCCAAAGTGCTAAGATTACAAGCAAGAGCCACTGCACCTGGCCTTGTAAAACTTTTAGAAGAAAAGATAGGTATAAATCTTTGTGACATTGAATTAAGCAATGTTTTCTGAGATATGACAGCAAAAGCATAAACTATAACAAAATAGAGAGCCTAGACACCAGCAGTAAAATAAACTAAGTAATGATATATATTTCAACATAGAGGAACTTTTGTAACATCATGTTAAATGAAAGAAGTCGGTCACAAAGGACCAAATATAGGACAATTCCACTAAATGAAATGTCCAAAATAGACAAATCCGTTGAGATAAAAAGTAGATTCATGGTTTCTTAGGACTGGAATAAACAAGGTGTTTGAAGAGGTGACATCTTAAGAGATGCAAACCTTCTTTTAGGGGTAATGAAATTGTTTTAAAATCAGTTGTGGTAATGGATACACAACTCTGAATAGACTAAAAGCCATAGAATTGCTCTTTTACTTAGTAGTGTACATAGGGAGCTGCTATTGATCTTTCATTATTTCCTTTTCTCTGATATTTCTAGAAAATATTTAGCAAGTTTCCATACAGGTTGACTCAAGCAATCTTGAAAGTTCTTTCATGAATAGGAAGATGTGTTTTTGTACCCTTGCAGCAGAGATCTAATTAACTTGGGGGAAGAAAAATAAACCAAGTTAACATACCTAATTAAGAGTCCAAAGACACTTTTAATTTTTGCCTTGTACAACTTTATCCTATAAGAATTTATAAGACCACTGTGAGTCACAATCTGCAACAACTTAAACTAGTCCTTGTTCAAGACAAGAAAACAAGTATGTCAGAATCTCCACATAAAGAATCTCTACATAAGGCACCTTAAGATATCCCATTTCATTAAACCCCACAGGTCACTCGCTCCTTGTTAAGCACAGATTATGTATTAAACATTGCTGTTCTCTTCTCCACAATTTTAAAAGCACAAGTAAATCAAAGCAGATTTTATGAAAAGCACGTTCTGTAATTACAGGCCCCAAAATCAGCAATACAATCTCAGGTAGCCACTTCAGCTCCCTTCAGTAAAATTATTTAAGTCCACTAGTGAGGAAACTGCTGCTATAGTTGATTCTGTGGAATCCCGAAAACGTGGAAAATGTTCCAGTAGGGCTTCAAATAGTAAGAAACGTATCAAAACTAAACAAATCTAGCAAGGAACACAGGAGATAGATAGAAGTGACATTAATTATTATTACCTTTGAAGATGGCTCTCAGGAGTGATCCAGCAACTTTTCCTTTCACTGCTTGATTCTGAAGGAGATTAGTCAACTGCAAAGAAAGAAAGAAAAACTGTAAGTCTCTAGCAACACTCTTTAACCCAATGACCTAAACACTTAAAAAATACTCTTGTGTCAGGTTCAGATCATTCAAGGACTACAAACACCATTAAGTTTTAGACAGAGCAGGATACATCTTAATATGACCCTGGATTGTCAAGACTGAGATCTACTCATACTCATTCTTTTATTTTTTACTTTTTCATTTTTTTTGAGACCGAGTTTCGCTCTTGTTGCCCAGGGTGGAGCATAATGGCAGGATCTCAGCTCACTGCAACCTCTGCCTTCCAGGTTCAAGCCATTCTTCTGCCTCAGCCTCTCAAGCAGCTGGTATTAGAGGCACCTGCCACCACACCCAGCTAATTTTTATAATTTTAGTAGAGATGGGGTTTCACCATGTTGACCAGGCTAGTCTCCAACTCCTGACCTCCTGATCCACCTGCCTCGGCCTCCCAAGGTGTTGGGATTACAGGCGTGAGCCACTGCACCCAGCCTATTCATACTTATTCTATAAAGATTTGTGGAGTACTTAGCATAGTTGGGGACATACTTCAATCCAACAAACACTTCTTGAGCATGTTATTTTCTTTAGGCGTGCTATAAAGATGAACAAGACAGACATAGTAATTTGACTCAGAGTTTACAATAGAGCAGGAGGGGAAAGGATGACAGAAAAAAAAAAAATCAGAAAATAATTTGTAAAAGAACCAAATAAGAGGCTGAGATAGACAGTAAGTGAGGAAAGGAAAGAAACTTCATCTAGGGTAGTAAGGGGAATCTTCTCTGAAGCAGATGACATTTAAGTAGAGACTTAGAGGACAAGATTCTCCTGCCTCAGCCTCCTGAGTAGCTGGGATTACAGGCGTGTGCCACCGTGCCTAGCTAATTTTTTGTATTGTTAGTAGAGACGGTGTTTCACCATGTTGGCCAGGTCCTGACCTCAGGTGATCCACCCGCCTTGGCCTCCCAAAGTGCTGGGATTACAGGGGTGAGCCACGGCGCCCAGCAAGAAGGCACTAATTATTCAAAGGAGTTAGAGAGGGATATTCTAGATAGAAGTATGATCATGTGCAAAGGCCAAGAAGAAGCAAAGAGCTTGGCATATTTGAGGCCAAAGACTTTTAAAAAAAAAAAAAAAAAAAGATCAATATGGCTACAGAAGGGTAAAGAAAAGAGTAGCAGAAGATGAGTCTGAAGAGAAACAGAAAGGACCAGATTATGAAGACTCTTACAGGTCATGGTAGGATGTTTAGCTTTTGTCTAAGTGCAACAGAAGTTACTAAAGAGAAAATAAGGAAGTGAGATGATAGATTTTTAAAACATCGTCCTTGCTCCTAGTGTGGAGAATGAGTTATGGGGGTTTGTGAAAGGGGGTATCTGTTAGCAGACTGGTACTGTGTTTAAGAGAGAGATGATAGTGACCTAGACCAAAGTAATAGAGGCACTAAGAGTTGTGTCCTCCCCACACCCCCAAATTTCATATGCTGAAGTTCTAACCGCCCCCCCACCATGGTTCCGAATGTGACCTTATTTGGAAATTGGGTTCTTGTAGATATAATTAACTGAGGTCATTAGAATGCACCATTCAGTCACTAGTCCAATGACTGATGCCCTTAAAAAAGGGAACTCTGGACATAGAACATAAACAGGGAGAATGCCAGGTGAAGATGCAAGCAGAGCTCAGGTGATACACGCCAAGGAATGCCAAAGGTTACCAGCAACCCACCAGAAGCCAGGCGAGAGACACAGAACAAATTCTCACCGCCCTCAAAAGGAACCAATCCCAACAACACCTTGATCTTGGACTTCTAGTCTCCAGAACCATGAAACATTTAATTGATGCTACTTAAGCTAAGCAATTGGTGGTACTTTGTAGCCCTAGCACACTGATATAGGAGATGAAGAAAAGTAGATAGATCCAAGATAAATATTTGAGAACTAAGAATAGAAACTCCTCAGTTTGGAAGCGAAGTAAGGGGTAGTGATAAAGGAAAAGAAACTGAGGAAGACTCCCACATTTCTGGCTTAAGCAGCTAGCTGGGTGAATAGTGGCACCATCCATTTATGTGGTGAAAATTTGGGAGTAAGGAAGCATCTAAATCATCCTGAGAGCTTACTAAAACAAATTTCTGGGCTCTACCCACAGTTTATGATTCAGGTCTGCTGTGGGGCTCAGAACCACTACTCTGAGATATCCAGGTAGAAGTGCCAAGTATATGACAATGAAATACGCCAAGTGGAGCATCAGTGGAAACAGATGACACCATCCAGGAAAGAATATAAAGAGAAGAGAACACCAATAGTCAATCATTAAAAAGAGAAACAGCTGCCAGCAAAGACAATGGAGAAAGTGAGATCAGTAACACTGGAGGATAATCTAGAGAGCGAACTATCACAGAAACCAGGACTAATAAAACAATAAACTTCATCTCTTCCACAAGTACATGAGTCTGGTGTTTCTAGCTGGAGTCCATCTCTCCATTACATATATAATAAAAAAGCATCTGACTACTCTTGCCTATACATCCCAACAGAGTACTTGGTCCTAACCCTTAAAACAGCAGTTCTTAACCAGTGGTGACTTTTGTCCCGCAGGGGACACTGGGCAATGTCTAGAAACATTTCTGGTTGTCACAACGGGAAGGGTGCTGCTGGAATCCAGTGGTAAGAGATGCTACTAAACATTCTGCAGTGCACTGGACAGCCCACCACAACAAAGATTTATCCAAGCCAAAGCGTGAGCACTGCCAAGGCTGAGAAGCTGTTGTTGACTCTTTGAAATAGTTCAGTTTTAACAGAAAGCAGTGTGGCATAGGAGGGGGGAAAAAGCTGGATCCAGAATCAGAAGCCCTGGATGTAAATCCTAGCAATGCCATTTACTAGCTATATAACCTCAGGCAAGTAATTCAATCTGTTATGTGTCCATTTCCCCTCCTCGAAGGACTGAGATAACATGCAGAAGAACTTGCAGGGGAACTAACACACAACACGTACTCAACGAATGTTAATGTTCCTCTATCACCTCTGTCCCCTACTCTCCGTCTTCCTCCTTCCACTTACGTGATCTTCAGTCTTCCTTTTCACCATGCCCAGCTATGCTTTTTACTACATTTTAAAACTTAGAGCAAGTAAGATTTAAGTATCCCTGTTATCTCGGAAGGCTTCAAAATTTTTAACTCGCAGACGAACTACCAAGTTAACAGCACAATCCAAATAAATTTCGATTTTTTTAAAAAAATAAAACATTCTTCATTTAGTGTTGTCTGGTGTTTCCTTGTGCCTCGATGGGGTTTATGCAGTCTTGCAACAACATAGCTGATACCATGTCATTCTCTGAGTATCACATCAGGAAGTACCTGATGTCCATCTGTCCCTCATTGGCGATATTAATTCTGACCCCACTTTATAATTACTTTTCCTCCCTCCCTTTGCCACCAGTAAGAAATTTGTAGGGAGACACTTTAAGACCACACAAATATCTTGCTCATTAATTTTCTCCATGTAAAATGGAAAAGCCCAGCAGAAACCACTGTTATCAGGTTATCAAAGTCAGTATCGCCAGGAATGACACTGACATCAAGACCCCAGTGATTTGATACACTAAAAAGGACATGGCACCTTTTCTGTGGCCCTTATGCCAGGTATACATGACTTTGGTCCAATAGTGAGACAATTCCAAACAGGCTATAACTGAGACACATTCAGCAAAACAACTGATCAATATTCTTCAGGGCTATCATGATCAACAGAGAACAAGGAAAGACTACTGCAGACTGCAGGAAATCGGGGGGAAATGACAACTAAGGGAGCAGTGTAGGATGCTGAGTACAATGAAGGACGCTGGAATATAAAGACAACATTAGTGAAATAATTACTGGGGAGAGTTGGACTAAGGGTCTTAGCTTCATTAATTGTATCTTATGAATGTTTTTAAATTCCTCCTGGATCTAGCATCCCTTGGTATTTCTTGCCTGGTTCAATTTTTACTATGACGGTTGCAAAGTAATGACTTTCCAATTCCTGCACTGTAAGAAAGAGAACTCCTTTCTACCCATTTACTTATCTTATTTACTTAGAGACAGTCTTCTTTGCCGCCCTGGCTGGACTGCAGTGGCACAGTCATAGCTCGCTATAACCTCAAACTCCTGGGGGCTCAAGAAATTCTCCTGCCTCAGCACCCCTCCAGTTAACTAGGAATACAAGCATGTGCTACCATGCCATGCTAATTAAAAAAAAAAATTTTAAATAGGAAATGTATGCACATATATACACATAAAAATATACATGTACACAGGTACACACACATATATATATATATATATATACACATATCTGAGAAAGCCTAAGTTCACACTTGTACCTCTATTTCTAATCTATCCCCACAGGATTCTTTCTTGCCTTTCCACATTTCATATTTACATGTCCCTTTGCCACTGAAAGAACACTGACTCTGAATATCAACACGTTTATTACATCTAAAATAGTTTCAAAATTGCTTCACCCATACCACTACAATAAACAATCCTACTAAAAAGAGTTCAAGGTTTATTTGTATTTTTCCCCACCACTCCTATACCAAGACTTCGGGTAGATAATCAAATACTTAGATGAGTTCTTTCTCCCCTCCCCACCTTCAGTATGGTTGGGGTATTCTTTGTTTCTTTTTTGTAATGATACCCAGACATACATATGTTTTCTCTTCTTTTTCACATAAAAAGGAGAATATACGCATTTTGCACATTTCCTAGAAGTGGGATGACTGGGTTGAAGGAAAATGTGTCTGCAGTGTTGCTAGCTATTAGCGAATTCTAACCATGGTCATACCATTTCTCAGCAGTGAATGAGTGAATGCCCGTTTTCCCCCAGCGGCTCAATTGGACAAGAAATAGTATCTTCCATTTTAATTTACATTTCTCTTATTATGAGTGAAGTTGAGCATATTTTCTTATGTTTAAGGCCATTTTTATCTATCTTTTAATGATTATTCTCATGTTTTTTGCCTTTTTAAAGTATGATGTTTTATCTTTCCCCTCCTCACGAGTTATTTAAGAATTAAGGGGCCAGGCGCGGTGGCTCAAGCTTGTAATCCCAGCACTTTGGGAGGCCGAGGCGGGTGGATCACGAGGTCAAGAGATTGAGACCATCCTGGTCAACATGGTGAAACCCCGTCTCTACTAAAAATACAAAAAATTAGCTGGGCATGGTGGTGCGTGCCTGTAATCCCAGCTACTCAGGAGGCTGAGGCAGGAGAATTGCCTGAACCCAGGAGGCGGAGGTTGCGGTGAGCCGAGATCGTGCCATTGCACTCCAGCCTGGGTAACAAGAGCGAAACTCCGTCTCAAAAAAAAAAAAAAAAAAAAAAAAAGAATTAAGGGCCGGGCGCGGTGGCTCATGCCTGTAATTCCAGCACTTTGGGAGGCCAAGGCAGGTGGATCACGAGGTCAAGAGACCGAGACCATCCTGATCAACATGGTGAAACCCTGTCTCTACCAAAAATACAAAAAATTAGCTGGGTATGGTGGCGCATACCTGGAATCCCAGCTACTCAGGAGGCTGAGGCAGGAGAATTGCCTGAACCCAGGAGGCGGAGGTCACGGTGAGCCGAGATAGCGCCATTGCACTCCAGCCTGGGTAACAAGAGCCAAACTCCGCCTCAAAAAAAAAAAAAAAAAAGAAAAAAGAGAAAAAGAATTAGGAATATTAATCCTTTATCTGTGATACGTTACAAATATTCTTTTCCCAGTTTGCCATTTGTCTTTTGACTCTGGCCATGCAAACTTTTATTTAACTTATACATAGACTAACTTATCTTTTATTGCATCTGTATTTTGTATGATACTTAGAAAGCTTTTCACTGCACTGGACTTGAAGAGAAATTCATCCGTGTTTTCTTCTAACATACAGTTTTTGTTTTTCTGAGACAGAGTCTCGCTGTGTCACCAAGGGCCAGACTGGAGTGCAGTAGCTCGATCTCGGCTCACTGTAACCTCTGCCTCCTGCGTTCAAGCAATTCTCCTGCCTCAGCCTTCCGAGCAGCTGAGATTACAGGCATGCGCCACCGTGTTAGGCTAATTTTGTATTTTTAGTAGAGACAGGGTTTCTCCATTTTGGTGAGGCTGGTCTCGAACTCCCGAACTCAGTTGATCTGCCCGTCTTGGCCTCCCAAAGTGCTGGGATTAGAGGTGTGAGCCACCAGGGATGGCCTTCATTTACATCTTTAAATATGTTAAATACTAGTCCAGGCAGAGTGGCTCACGCCTATAATACCAACACAGTGGGAGGCTGAGGTGGGTGGATTGCTTGAGCTCAGGAGCTCAAGAACAGCCTGAAAAGCATGGCGAAACACCATCTCTGCTAAAAATACAAAAATTAGTCAGACACATGTCCATGGTCCCTGTTACTCAGGAGGCTGAGGTGAGAGGATCACTTGAGCCCAGGAGGTTGAGGCTGCAGTAAGCTGAGACTGCCCCACTGCACTCCAGCCTGGGCAAGAGTGAGATCCTCTCTCTAAACAAATAAATAAAGTTAAATACTGTATTAAGTATTTGTGTTAAATATTTAAAGTTTTTTTCAGATTGCTCTAAATCCTTGAATCCTAATTTTCCCATTGCTGGTTCTGTGACAGTCTTTCTTGCCATAAGACTTCTTATGTGTTTTATAATTTTTACTCTGAGTTCATATTCTGTGGAACATTTTATTAAATGAACTGCATGCACATATTACTGACATGCTTAACAAATTTGTAGAGGATAAAAGGTGATTAATACGGTCAACAGAATCATACAAAATGATCCTGATGGAGTAAAACAAGATGAATCTAAAAAAGATGACAGTTAACAAGTATAAAGTTTGCTGTTGTGTGGTTGTTTTTAGAAACCGGGTCTTGCTATGTTGCCTAAGCCTATCTTGAACTTCTGGCCTGAAGGAATGCTCCCAAAGTGCCAGGATCACAGGTGTGAGCCACCATGCCTGGCCCATATATAGCTTTTAACAGGGGTTCTAAAAACTACAGGATTTCATAGATAAAGGAAATTTAGCTTAATATCAACATATACAAAAGTAAATATAAGACCAATAAGACCACAATATGATGTTACTGCCAAAAAGTTGATTTTGCATTAATGAAAAAAATGAAAGAAATATTAGCATTACTCTATCCTAGAATCAGAATACATCTGGAACACTGTCTTCAATTTGACAGTATTCATGCCTTCAATTTGAGGCATGAAACTTTAAATAATTTAAATATTGGTTTTAACCAGATCTTATCTATAGAATGATTCAAGTTACTACTCATGCAATAAGCCAGCTCAAAAAAATAGCTGTATCTGTACACATAAGATGTGGTAATAAATAAATAAATAAATAGCAGCTATAAAGGCAATCCTGGATAATTTCAAAGAAAAAAAAAAATCAAAGAGCAACCCTACATCAATTCCTAGTTAGTCTGTCAGATAACACAGACTAAGATGCGCTTTGTTTCAATAACTGCAACACTAATACATAAAAATTCCCTTAAAAGGTCGGGTACAGTGGCTCAAGACTATAATCCCAGCACTTTAGGAGGCCGAGGCTGGTAGATCACCTGAGGTCGGAGTTCCAGACTAGCCTGGCCAACAGGGTGAAACCCCATCTCTACTAAAAATACAAAACCTAGCCAGGCACAGTGGCTGGTGCCTGTAATCCCAGCTACTAGGGAGGCTGAGGCAGCAGAATCATTTGAACCCAGGAGGCAGAGGTTGCAGTGAGCCGAGATTGTGCCACTGTACTCCAGCCTGGGCAAAAGAGTAAAACCTTGTCTCAAAAAAAGAAAAAAAAAAATCCTTAAAAACATAATACTCATCAACTGACAGAAAAAGAGAAGAAAAGAAAATCCCATAATACTCAATGTCTTTACTTGTTTATACATATATCTTGAAGCAGGATGCTTTTCCAGGCAGCGATCTGGATAGGATGAGATCACTTATTATGGAAAAAGAAGCAGTATATCAGCTGAGCGAGGAGATTAGGAAAAATAAACAGCTTCACATATAAGGCAATTACTATCCCATTTGATAATCATATACTTAGAGTGAAAACAGAGGCCCTAATTTTTACTAATAATTTCAAAATGCTTTGCTGCTCATAAAATTATTTTAAGGAAAAACACAGAAAAACATCAGAATGTAAAACGAATGTCTCAATCAGTAACTATAGCCTAGATATTATCTTCAAATAGAATTGTTCTAAGGACCATAAAAGTACATACAGTTGTAAAAGCATTCTAAGGCTATTTCAGATTTAAATTTGGTCACAAACGCCCTCACGTTGTCCATTTCTCTCATTCCCTCATCCCAATTTCTTTACATGTATAAATTATTATTAAATAAATCCTTGTCTCCTACAGAGAATGGGGAGTAGACGAAGACGCAATATAATTTTTCTTTCTCACATGTCCTTTGAATTTGTCATCAAGCCTGACATTCACTTTTAGCAGAACATGCTTCCTGATACTCACGTCATCTTCTTTCAGGGTCTGAAGAAATTCCTGCAGCTTGTCTGCTGTTTTTTCTGCTGCTAGAGATAAAATCTTCTGGTCCATTATTGCTCATATCACAGAACTATAAGGGAAAAACGTCAGAGGTGAGTGAAGATTCCAGAAATAGACAAACTTCATTTTTTTTCCTTCCCTGTTAACTATTTCATACCTATTATGCAATGAGTGCTCAACAACTTAGGACTGTCTTTGAGGTGATTCTTTTCTTCTTCTTCTTCTTAAGCTCAGTGTTAAGATGGTGATTCTTAACCTAACCAAAATAATCTTAAAAATTCCCTGAAATTGCCTTATTAGGAAACTGTATTTTAATCACGTGGTTTTAATTTTTGCCCACATTTGCTATCATCTACTGAGCATCTATCTAGAACCCAGCTGCCACTTAACAGCATATCAAGTATGTAATACATTATCATAAGCATGTAATAAAACATTTGACAAATAAATGAATAAACCAACAGCACTAGAAATGCTATGTGCCAATTAAATAGTATAAAAAACAAGTGAGAAGGGGAGCCCAAGAGTGTGAGGCTGAAGTGAGCTGTGATCATGTCACTGTACCCCAGCCTAGGCAACAAGGTAAGACCTTGTCTCTTTAAAAAAAAAAAAAAAAGAAAAAAAAAGAAGGCCGGGCACGGTGGCTCAAGCCTGTGGTCCCAGCACTTTGGGAGGCTGAGGCGGGTGGATCACGAGGTCAAGAGATCGAGACCATCCTGGTCAACATGGTGAAACCCCGTCTCTACTAAAAATAGAAAAAAAAATTAGCTGGGCATGGTGGCACATGCCTGTAATCCCAGCTACTCAGGAGGCTGAGGCAGGAGAATTGCCTGAACCCAGGAGGCGGAGGTTGCGGTGAGCCAAGATCATGCCATTGCACTCCAGCCTGGGTAACAAGAGCGAAACTCCGTCTCAAAAAAAAAAAAAAAAAAAAAGGTCTTTCCCTGTAGCGGCAGCTCCGGGTCTCGTTTCCACTGCTCTGTGTCCTGTTCGCCTAGACGCCTGGCTTGTGTGGCCCTGTGACCTGCAGGTATTGGAGATCTACAGCTACGACGCCGGGACCCCCTAGAAGCCTAGAAATGGAACCACTGACATTTAGGGATATGGCCATAGAATTCTCTCTGGAGGAGTGGCAATGCCTGGACCCTGCACAACAGAATTTATATAGGAATGTGATGTTAGAGAACTACAGAAACCTGGCCTTCCTGGGCAGACAAGCAACCTCATCAAGCAGCTCCCTGACACCACAGCCAGGTAAATCCACAAAGATGGGAAAAAACCAGCACAAAAAAGATGAAACCGCCGGGCGCGGTGGCTCAAGCCTGTAATCCCAGCGCTTTGGGAGGCTGAGGCGGGTGGATCACGAGGTCAAGAGATCGAGACCATCCTGGTCAACATGGTGAAACCCCGTCTCTACTAAAAATACAAAAAATTAGCTGGGCATGGTGGTGCGTGCCTGTAATCCCAGCTACTCAGGAGGCTGAGGCAGGAGAATTGCCTGAACCCAGGAGGCGGAGGTTGCAGTGAGCCGAGATCGCGCCATTGCACTCCAGCCTGGGTAACAAGAGTGAAACTCCGTCTCAAAAAAAAAAAAAAAAAAAGATGAAACCATCATCAAAGACCAGAACACCTCTTCTCCTTCAAGGCATCACAACTCCTCAACAGCACAGAATCACAACTTGACTGAGGAGTGCGACGAATTGACAGAAAAAGGCTTCAGAAGGTGGCTAGTGAGAAACATTTCTGAGCTAAAGGAACATGTTCTAACTCAAAGGAAAGCAAACAAAAATCTTGAAAAAAAGTTAGACAAAATGCTAATTAGAATAACCAGCATACAGAAGAACTTAGACGACTTGATGGAGTGGAAAAACACAGCACAAGAACTACGTGAAGTAAACACAAGTTCTAATAGCCAGATCGATCAAGGAGAAGAAAGGATATCAGAGATTGAAGATCAACTCAATGAAATAAAAAGAGAAGGCAAGACAAGAGAAAAAAGAGTGAAAAGAAATGAACAAAACCTCCGAGTAATATGGGATTATGTGAAAAGACCTAATCTACGCTTGATCGGTATACCTGAATATGACGGCGAGAATGAATCCAAGCTGGAAAACATGTTCCAGGATATTATCCAGGAGAACTTCCCAAGTTTAGCAAGGCAGTCCAAATTTCAAATTCAAGAAATACAGAGAACTCCCCAAAGATATTCCTCAAGAAGAGCAACCCCAAGGCACATAATCGTCAGATTCACCAGGGTTGAAATGAAGGAAAAAATACTAAGGGCAGCCAGAGAGAAAGGCCAGGTCACCCACAGAGGGAAGCCCATCAGATTCACAGCAGATCTCTCTGCAGAAACCCTACAAGCCAGAAGAGAGTGGAGGCCAATATTCAACATCCTTAAAGAAAAGAACTTTCAACCCAGAATCTCATATCCAGCCAAACTAAGCTTTGTAAGTGAAGGAGAAATAAAATCCTTTACGGACAAGGAATTATTGAGAGATTTTGTCACCACCAAACCTGCCCTACAAGAGCTCCTGAGAGAAACACTAAGCATGGAAAGGAACAAGTACCAGTCACTGCAAAAGCAAACCAGTTGGCAAAGACCAAAAATGCAATGAAGAAAATGAGGCAACTAATGGGAAAGAAAACCAGTCAGTAACAAAATGGCAGCATCAAATCACATATAGCAATATTAACATTGAAAGTAAATGGCCTAAATGCTCCAATCAAAAGACACAGACTGGCAAACTGGATAAAAAGTCAGAACCCATCAGTGTGCTGTATTCAGGAAACCCATCTCACATACAAAGACACACAAAGACTCACAATAAAGGGATAGAAGAAGATTTACGAAGCAAATGGAGAACAAAAAAAAGCAGGGGTTGTAATCCTAGTCTCTGATAAAATGGACTTCAACAAAGATCAAAAGAGACAAAGAAGGACACTACATTATGGTCAAAGAATCAATCCAACAGGAAGAGTTAAGTATCCTAAATACATACATCCCCAACACAGGAGCACCCAGATACATGAAGCAAGTTCTTAATGACCTAAAACAAGATTTAGACTCCCACACAATAATAGTGGGAGACTTCAACACTCCACTGTCAATATTAGATAAATCAGCAGAAAATTAACAAGGATATCCAGGACTTGAATGTAGAGCTGGACCAAGTGGACCTAATACACATATATAGAACACTCCACCCCAAATCCACAGAATATACATTTTTCTCAGCACCAAATTGCACATACTCTAAAATTGACCATATCATTGGAAGCAAATCACCCCTCAGCAAACGCAAAAGAACAGAAATCATAACAAACAGTCTATCAGACCACAGCGCAGTCAGAATAGGACTCAGGATCAAGAAACACACACAAACCCGCATAACTACTTGGAAACTGAATAACCTGTTTCTGAGTGTCAACTGGAAACTGTCTCTAAAAAAAAAAGAAATACTAGACTTCCATAGAATCAACCCAAACGCTCATAAATGATAGATTGGACAAAGAAAATGTGGTACATGTACACCATGGAATACTACGCAGCTATAAAAAACAAGTTTGTGTCCTTTGTAGGGACTTGGATGAATCTGGAAACCATCATTCTCAGCGAACTAATAAAAGAACAGAAAGCCAAACACCGTATGTTCTCACTCATAGGTGGGTGTTGAACAATGAGAACATGTGGACTCGGGGAGAGGAGCATCACACACTGGGGGTAGTTGAGGGGGGTAGGGAGAGACAGCAGGGGATGGGGAGGGAGGGGAGGATGGGGAGGGATAACATGGGGAGAAATGCCAGATATAGTATGCACCTGAAGTAAATAAACTAATTTTAAAAAAATAAAAAATAAATAAAAAAAGAAAGAAAGAAAGAAAAGGTGAGAAATTAACAAGGTGAAAGATATAATTGTGTTCTTAAAGGTCAAGGCTTCCCAGCAGAGGAAACCTTGAACTGGAACTTAAGAGATTAATTTTAGATAGTCAAGACGACCAGACCGTATGCATTAGTGAGAAGGGTATCATGAACAAAGGCATTCATATGGGAAATTAGCAATGTATTTGGGGAAAATAAGTAGAATGGCTGAGGTAGAATCCAAGTAGGAAAATATTGAGTAGGAAGGTTGGAAAGATAGGCTGGGAGTAAAGAGGTTAAGGAATTCAGATTCTGCTTCGTAAATCACTGAGAACCATCAAAAAATTCCGAGCAAAAGACAATCTCACAAGATTGAAAGTGACAGAACCTAGCATCTTTGGGCAGATTAAAGTGGGGAGAAGGTAAGGAGAAACAGCAAAGGCGAAGAGATCATTTGGACGCCACTGTAGTGGAAATAATAAAGACCTGTACTAGGGTGGTGACTGGAGAATACAAAAGATGGGGTGAAATGGAGGCACATGAAACAGACAGAATTCAGCTAGGAGCTATGAAAATATACGGAGGAAATACAGACTAGCAGAAAGAAAATCTGCCCCTCCTCTTCCTCCTGTGTTTCCCATCTCCATAAATTGTACCATCATCTGTTCAGCTGCTCAAACCAGAAACCTAGGTGACATTCTTAACAACTTTGGCTTCATCCTTCACCACATCCATGACCTAATCCTGTCAATGTTACCTACTAAGTATCTCCCTAATCTGTCTACTTTTCTCCGACTCCACTACTGACACATTACTCCAAGCCACCACCATCTCTCACTTGAACTAGGGCAATCATCCTTAACTTGTCCCCCTCCATGTATCAACTAAAATGATGTTTTTGAAACCGCATTATGTGACTCATCTTCCCTCCATGCCATCCTCATTAGAAAGCTCTTCAGAGTAGCTTTCCACTGCTTTCTCATCAGTCCAAAATCCGTAAGTAAGGATAAAGTAAGTCCTGCAAGGTCTGACCCATGCCTAACTCCCCTTCATCACTCTGTTCCAGCCACAAGGAATTACTTCCAGTCCTTCAAATCGCCAAGTTCTTTATGCCACAGGCCCTTCCACATGTTTCCATCTGGAACTCAAATAAAGACTCCTCCTTCCATCCACTGCCCCTCAATCTTTTATTACTAATTCCTACAAATCCTTCAGATCTCAGCTCAATCCACATCTCAAAAACTCAAGTCTAGGTTAAACAGTTCCCTATTACATCCGCTCATGGCACCAGTAAACCCTCTTACATACTGTCACCAGTTTTTAATGTTACATGTGTAATTACCAGATTAACAAATGTATTTCCCACTAGACTATAAGCCCTGTTAAGGGCAGAAGCCGTAGCTGGTTTTATCACTGTATCTCCAGCACTTGGCACACTACCTAGCTCAAACTCGGTAACTAACAAATATTTGTTGAACAAATTATTAAACCCCTACAACAGGGAAGACACTGGACCCAGCACTTTACATCCATTAATATGATCCTCACAACACCACATATTAGGTAGGTGTACTATTCGACCCATTTTAGATGAACAACTTTTGGGATTCAGAGATTAAGGAATTTCCCGAAGATTAGACGACCAGCAAGTGGCAGAGAGAGAAGTGAAGCCCAAGTTTGTCCAGCTCCAGACTCCAAGATGACAACTGGATGCAAATAGGACACACCAGCCTAACAAGGTGTCCAGCCAGAAGAGGCAGGCAGGCAGCTTCGGAGGGGAATACGTGTAAACCAAACTAGGCACATGTGCTAAAACCATCCTAAAACCAGAGGTAAGACCAGAGACGGGTGGCTGTGAATTCTCTGAGCGCAAAGTAGATTCCTCTCAAGAGATGCGGAGAGCATCAGAGATCTGAAGTCAAAATCTGAGAAAAGCAGGGTCCGGGCGGCGGGAAACGCTGGCGTTCCCTTCCGGGTTCTTCAGCGCGCTAGCCGCGAACGTAAATACAGAAACGATAACAAGCAGCAGCTGGCGATGGAGACCGTGACCCGGCAACAAACGCAAAGCAAGATTTCGGAAAATTTCTCAGAAGTCAGAACTGCACCTCGACCACGGGGAAAGAATTTAACAGGAGAGGCTCCGAGCGAGGCTCGCCCCTCGGAGGGAACTGCTAAAGCAGAGGCGGACGGCAGGAGACAGCGAAGCGAGTCTGCTTTCCAGGACACAGAAAATACCAGAGCGCCACGTCAGGACACGAGCTTCCTTTCCCCCAAAGAATAGCTCCCTCCCAGGGACCCCATCCCACAGCCCAAGCACTCGCGCGCCAACCTGCAGTCACCCCAGCCTCACCTCCTCCGCAAACTTCCGAAAATCCCGCTCAACCCGACGCCGCCACACTTCCGCTACCCGTGACAACAAGTCCCGCCCCCGCGGCTCACTTCCGCCGCCCGGGCGCCGCGGGCGGGGAGCACGTGGAAGGCTGACGGGTGCCGGGAAGCGTGCGGAGTTTCAGGACGTCCCCGCTCACAGTCGGAGGGGGGCGCTACGAGTCCGAACCGGCGCTCGGGGCCGCGGATGAGCGCGCGCAGTGGGACCTAGTCCAGTAGTCAGGGCCGGGGGACTCACAACTGGGGGCCCCGCATGTCTTGGCGTTGGAAAAGCCTGGAGTGCAGAGGCGGGTTTCATACTCCACAGTGTGCCAGGGGACAGGAACCGCTGTGGCTAAGGGGCTTGGTGGGCTTCTGGGGTTGTGGGTTTTGCTTGATCTTTGTTTTGCTTTTTTTATTGCGCTCCCCTTGTGTAACCCCAGCGTTTAGCGCGTAGCCTGGTAATAGTGAATATTCGTTAAATGAACAACTGACCGTAGAGCAAAGACCGACAGAGGGTGGGGCCGCGATTCTGCTTTGGGTTCAGGGAGCCCCTTGTGCAAAGGGCCTAAGAGCAACGAGCGAGCAAGAGAGCCTCTGGCCAGCTGGGAAGGCGAAGTGCTCCGTGGGGTTGGTTTGCAAGTCTTTCTCACGTTGGGGGCAGTGGGGAACCTCTGAAGGGGAAGGGCGTGACTGTGTTGTACTGTAGAATGCGATATCGGGCAGGTGAGTTCCTCAGAAACCGTTCAAAAGAGATGGGCCAGGCGGGGAGGACCGCAGGCAGGACCCCTTAGGAGACTGTAAGTTGTCCCCGAGATAGGTGGTGGTGGCCAACCGTGGCAACGGGGACAGAAAGAAGTGGACTGCATGTGAAAGAGATTAGGAGGTAGAGATTTAGGAAGCCCAAATATCCGGATTTGAGGGGTGGGGGTGGGAGTTGTTGAGGAATGTTCAGGCTTGAATGACGGGTTGGGAGGCGGGGAGTTAATCCTGCTAGTTGACGAACACCGGGAGCACAGGAAAAGGATGATGGGGTGATGGTGAGCCCTTCAGATTTGGACCCACCAAATTTAAGGTGCCTGTGGGATTTGAGGTGCAAGTGAAGGAATGCTAAGATCAGGGAGCATTCAGTCTGGATCCTGACTCGACTCCCAGCCCTCGCGGGTAGAATGGGTCTACATGGCCAGTTATGGAAGAAACAGCTATTGGAGGAGAATGGTGCCTGTCAGCTTGTCTAGACCTGCTCTTTGCTTGTCACCCTTCAGCATTTTTTTCCTTCTCCATTTCTGTCCCAATACTAAGCTGTGATATTTAACCAAAACATGGCAGTTTGAGGATGAAGATGATTCCTGAAAGGAATCTTTTTTTTTTTTTTTTTTAATAAGATGGGGTTTCACCATGATGGCCAGGCTGATCTTGAACTCCTGACCTCGGGTGATCCACCCACCTCGGCCTCCCAAAGTGCTAGGATTACAGGTGTGAGCCACTGCGCCCGGCCCTGAAAGGAATCTTTTACCTTGCCAAGGAAACAGGTGACTTTGCCTCATCTCCCCGCAACATCTCCCTGGCTGCTTCTGGGAGTGCTGGAATTCAGCCATGAGTCTGTGGGTCTGGGTAGCTAGAACAAGCTCATTAGCCTCTCGGAGCCCCCACTGGCACATCCCAGACGTCCTTGCTGAATTGCCTGTGTGTCTACCCACCAGCATTGATGCTTCAAGGTTCTGGTCTCCCCTTGTTGCACAAATGTATCATTTGTGTTTTCCATTTGCATGAATAAATGTTACATATGCAAAAGAAGAGAAGACTAGATTCATTCAGATTAACCACAGCAGTTTTTTCACCCTGGTGCAGGCTTCCTTAACTAAGCAGCAGATCTTACCGTCTGCTTCACCCACAAGACGCTATACACAGAGAAGCTAGTGATACACTGATTCTAGAAAATACAGCCAGTTAAAAACAGGTCTACGCCGGGTGCGGTGGCTCAAGCCTGTAATCCCAGCACTTTGGGAGGCCGAGGCGGGTGGATCACGAGGTCAAGAGATCGAGACCATCCTGGTCAACAGGGTGAAACCCCGTCTCTACTAAAAATACAAAAAATTGGCTGGGCATGGTGGCACGTGCCTGTAATCCCAGCTACTCAGGAGGCTGAGGCAGGAGAATTGCCTGAGCCCAGGAGACGGAGATTGCGGTGAGCCGAGATCGCGCCATTGCACTCCAGCCTGGGTAACAAGAGTGAAACTCCGTCTCAAAAAAAAAAAACAAAAAACAGGTCTACAGTAATGGAACTAAATGTTCTTCTGAACTTGTCAATAGTACTTGTTTATCTAACAACATTATGGCTACTAATATTTACAGGAGTCCAAAGAAAAAGTACAAATGGACGCCCCTCACCATTCCCAACTCAGTCTTGCAGTGTGAGGTCTCAGGCTTCATATGCCTGCATGCGGATGGCCAACCTGAAGATCCACACCGTGACTCCCCTACAAAGCTGCCCCGTGGCCACCCTTTGGGTCTAGGGCTGTACATACTAGCAGGTCCACTCTAAGGAGGGTGGACCTAGGAAAAGGCCTACCTGGGCCCTGGAAGCAAATTTGAGGATGGTTAAGTCGGAACCTACAGCACGATTTAAAAGGAGCACATCCTCTGGGTTCCTTGGACTCTGGGCAGAGGAGAACCAATAAGGTACCCACCAGCCCAAGAGCTCCAGTCGCTTGGGATTAACGTTGTACTGCTTGAGACAATAACCAAGGTAATGTATAAAGAGTCAAATTCAGAAGCACATGAAAGTGTTATTTCCTTCCAGCAATCCCCATTACTGGGTATGTATCTAAAAGAATTGACAGCAACATCTCAAAGAGATATTTATATATCTATTTCATAGCAGTACTCTTTACAGTAACCAAAAGGTAGAAGCAATACAGATGTCCCTCAGTGAGTGAATGGCTAAAATGTGGGACATACATACTATAGAATATTACCCAGTTTTAAAAGGAAGGAAGTTCTGACACGTGCTACAACATGGATGAATCTTGGGGGCATTATGCTAAAGTGAAATAAGCCAGTCACCAAAAGGCAAATACTAATGTATGTGATTCCATTTATGTGAGGTATCTCATCAAAATCATAGAAACACACGGGGCACGGTGGCTTACCCCTGTAATCCCAGCACTTTGGGAGGCCGAAGCGGGTAGATCACCTGAGGTCAGGAGTTTGAGACCAGCCTGTCCAACATGGCAAAATCCCCTCTACTAAAAATACAAAAATTAGCCAGGAGTGGTGGCAGGTGCCTGTCATCCCAGCTACTCTGGAGGCTGAGGCAGGAGAACTGCTTGAACCCGATAAGTGAAGGTTGCAGTGAGCCAAGATCATGCCACTGCACTCCAGCCTGGGTGATAGAGCAAAACTCCATCTCAAAAAAAAAAAAAAAAAAAAAAGGGCCGGGCGCGGTGGCTCAAGCCTGTAATCCCAGCACTTTGGGAGGCCGAGGCGGGTGGATCACGAGGTCGAGAGATCGAGACTATCCTGGTCAACATGGTGAAACCCCGTCTCTACTAAAAATACAAAACATTAGCTGGGCATGGTGGTGCGTGCCTGTAATCCCAGCTACTCAGGAGGCTGAGGTAGGAGAATTGCCTGAACCCGGGAGGCGGAGGTTGCGGTGAGCCGAGATCGCGCCATTGCACTCCAGCCTGGGTAACAAGAGCGAAACTCCGTCTCAAAAAAAAAAAGAGAAAAAAAAAAATCGTAGAAACAGAAAGAAGGGTGATTATGGGGTCTGAGGGGAGGGGAAATGAAAAGATACCACGTAATGGGTACAGAGTCTCAGTTTTGCAAGATGAAAAAGTTCTGGAGATATGTTGCACAACAGTGTGAATATTCTTTTTTTTTTTTTTTTTTGAGACGGAGTTTCGCTCTTGTTACCCAGGCTGGAGTGCAATGGCGCGATCTTGGCTCACCGCAACCTCCGCCTCCCGGTTTCAGGCAATTCTCCTGCCTCAGCCTCCTGAGTAGCTGGGATTACAGGCACGCGCCACCATGCCCAGCTAATTTTTTTTGTATTTTTAGTAGAGACGGGATTTCAACCATGTTGACCAGGATGGTCTCGATCTTTTGACCTCGTGATCCACCCGCCTCAGCCTCCCAAAGTGCTGGGATTACAGGCTTGAGCCACCGCGCCCGGCTCAGTGTGAATATTCTTGACACAACTGAACAGTACACTTAAAAACCATTAAGATGGTAAAAGAAACAAGCACAGTACTACCCGGGTAACTCGCAGGTTTGTTAAAGAGAACTGGTTTACTCCACTCAGAAGAAATTCTAGTTTGGTAGAGTTTGAGGCAGAGGTTTAACTGCTCACTGTATCACCAGTTTGTAAAAAGTGCCTGGCATAAGGTACCGCTTCATAAGTATTTGCTAAATGGATGCCACATCATAAAAATAGCCTAAGAAAAATATGGGTTTAAAGTATCTCAATGAGATGTGAAATGCCAAACCCAAAATTTTGACATAAAAGATACATTGCTTCTTCTAAAGCTCCCTGTGAATCTGCGATCATTTGAAAGTAGAACGTTCAAAACAAACAGGAAAGTGTTAGCTCCTTCCTCCCATTCTGTTTCCTGTTTCTCAGAGGCCTGGAAGGAAGAGGAATAAAGGGGGAAAGGAAAAGAAGCAGGGTGGAAAGTCATCCGTGAAAACTGGCCCCTTACAGTTAGTAATATTTGATTAAATTTTATAGATGATCTAAGGGTATCAATGGTCAATTCGTAGTTTTGATCATTGTACTGGGATTAATTAACAGAATCTTACTTCACGCAGGCTGCAATAACCAAATGCTATAGACTGGGTGGCTTCTGAACAACAGAAATTTATTTCTCACTGTTCTGGAGGCTGGGAAGTTCAAAATCAAGACACCAGCAGTGTTGGTATCTGGTGAAGGCCACTTTCACATAGATGGCATCTTTTTGCTGTGTCCTTTCATGGCGGAAGGCGCAAGGCAGCTCTCAGGTGCTCTATTATAAAGACGCTAATCCCAAAACCCCGCCTCCTAATATTATCTCTTTGGGGGTT